TGAAGAACACCATATTTTTACGGCCTAGTACTTATTTTCAAAGTGGTCGTGATAGAACATGTGAGGTTTCTGGTCAGTCGTCGAATTGAACGCCTTCCCGTAGGTCCGTGGAAGGTAGATTTCGTGTCGGGACCGTAGTTTCAAATTTGTATGGGTCCTTAATCTATGTGTCGACGACACAACAACCTGCTGAGGGGACTCGTGAAGATTCTGAAGATCCCAATCGCGTGGATCAATGCTCATGATATTAATCACTGGATTGTCTGGTCCAGACTCGATTATTTACAGACCGCTACATATAGCTGGAATATTGCTGAGTGCGACTTTAAACAACGAACCAACCAACCTGCTGAGGAGATGAAGAGTTTAGTCAGCAACTGCAGCTTCAGAGCTCTCTGGGTCGTGATGGCTGCCAGGCAATGGGTTTTTTTTAAATTTCAAAACACTCATTCTGGCGTAGAACTGGTTCCCCGTAACTTATATATTTTCCAAAAAGTCGACTAAAATACATCGAGTCCTGAGGTTTGTCTGATTTCGTATCATCGCTCCCTGGTCGTTGTTCATGGTTTCAGTCACTGGTTTGTCTGGTCCACATCCGAATATTGACAGGCCGCCGTCATAAAGCTGACTGCGGCGTCAAACAACATAGCTCTCGCACTCCTGGTGGGCATGGCCGTAAGTCAAATTTAGAAGTGAGCGAGTGACCACTCCGGACAGCTTGTCAGTCATATCAGGGCGTGTCAGCTTGATGCGGGTGGAAAGTCCGTAGTGAAGAGTGCGAGCACGGGTATGGTGGAAACACACCATCGAGTTGTTTCATGCACACGGCAAACGGATCCGTGCAGGTTATTTGGGATAAATGAAGACATAAATGTATTTCTTCTATTGAGAGCCTGGTCTAGGTACAAAGACTACTGCCTTCCCGTCTCGTCACTCATCTTGAAGGTAGCCATCATTTCAAGCGCTGCTTGAATATCAAAAGGAGGCTTACAGCGTCAGTTTGTTTTCAATAAATAAGCCTTGACTGGTAGTTATTTCTAAGACTGGGTGTGTCTGTGGAAACGGAATCATTGGAGACGTCACGTGATACCTTAGGTCACGTGATACCTTAGGTCTCCAAGCCTTTGCGTGTCGCCCGATGACTTTAAGGGAATATGGCCTGTACTGGTTTGCTCTTAAAAGTAGACAATATAAGGGCCTCTGATTGAGGAAATACGGTAACTGCCGATACGGTATTCGATATGGTAGCCATTCATTTAGCAGTGTTAGAATTAATGGAATAACGATTCAACAGCAACACACATGACCGAAGTGAAAGCATTGATTTATTAACATCAAGTGTTTCCTGGGGAAAAAAGGCATTGTCAAGGATTTGAATTAAAGAGCCTTTTGTTCAGTTCACAACACATAAATAAATCAGTGGCACGAGCCCACACATCGCTGTGGTGATGAACAACATGGCGATGATCACATGCAATGTATCACTGCTATGAAGCCAGTTCCGCTAGGTACCACGGGATTAGAGTAATCATGTGACCTTCACAGGCGCTACTGGAATGAATACAGGACAGGGGCAAATGTACAAACTACAGACACAAAATAAGGGAACCAATTATTTGATTGTAGCTATCGTTGAGGTGTACATTTGTGAGCAGGGCGGTTGGGTAGCCTAGTGGTTAAAGTGTTCGCTCGTCACGCCGAAGACCCGGATTCGATTTCCCACATGGGTACAATGTGTGAAGCCCATTTATGGTGTCACCCGCCGTGAGATTGCTGGAATATTGCTAAAAGTGGCGTAAAACAATACTCACCCACTCACTGGCATGTCCCAGCAACATAATTATGATGGTCGTAAGATTTGTTTGTTTGCTTGCTGTTTAACGCCGCACTCAGCAATATTCAAGCTATATGACGCCGGTCTGTAAATAATCGAATCTGGACCAGACAATCCAGTGACTGACATCGTGAACATCGATCCACGCAATGGCGATACGATGACATGCATCAACCAAGTCAGCGAGCCTGACCTCCCGATCCCGTTTGTCGCCTCTCACGACAAGCATAGTCGCCTTTTACGGCAAGCATGGGTTGCTGAATACCTATTCTACCCCGGATATTCATGTAAGAGGTACACAGGTACAAATGGTACTCAGGCTCTGTGACCTGGTTGACAGCATAACCGCTGAAAGTTCGGTGTTAAACAACAAACAAACAAATGGCTATTTCAAGGGTAAAACGGTAACTAGAATGCGCAGTTCGTTTGACATTTAACTGTACACCGTCTGTCGTTGATTGTCTCATTCATTCAACATCGGCAAGTAAGAGGCTTATTTATAGACATGGTATGTAATAATACACGGAAAGCGTGATTACAAAGTCAGGTTCCAATGTACTTGGTAAATGTAGTATTGTTATTCCAGTTGATCTAGTATGGTTATTCCAGTTGATATCTCGTATTAAGGAATACTGAATCAGGTTAAGATCGTAGTTCTGATAATCCAGTCGGCTCAACTCACTCCCATTTTGGTAATCTCGGATAGCATTTGGAGGATCAATATTGGAACAAGACTAATTTCACTTGTTCACGTGACTGTGACGTCACACAACACAACTTTTGCTGTAGATCAAATTTTATACCTTATTTCGCTTAACCATGAAAAAACAGCTTTTATCAAAATCGCCCGGCGTGTTGTATTGGTCGGGATGCGATTTATAGTGAACTCTTGCAGTATCACTACTCAACTGCTCGCCGAGGTATCTTGGCGGTAACGGAATAAGCCGAGTGGGCTCGAATGAACCCACCGGAAACCTATGTTTAAGTTTTGAGTTCCAAAAGTCTTAGCACTGAGATAGCTTTGGGTAATTGGGCCCAGGCGAGTATTCCTCGGCAACCACGGTTGATTTTCAGGGTCCATTGGTCCCCTCCGTCTTGCAATGGTGCCAATGTTTAGTCGATCGCCATCAGACAGAGGCTGATTATTCTGAAATAAACTGATGCAGCATGTTTCCACAATGCCAGGTACAGACGCGTATATTCCACTTGTCTTTCCATGATAAACTGTTTGGGCGATTTGACTTGCAGGAGAGCTGCTTTGGTGCTGGCAGCATGGAACTGTGCCAACATTAGGGGCAATAACCAAATGGCTCCTAAATATAAAACCAATTGGACACTTTCAAGAACAATAATTTGTTATTCATATTTATAGATAAATACCCCACTTTGGTTATTTGATTGAAGATTAGTAGTGGACTTGTCAAGATCACTTACTTTCACATTCAGGTATAAATACATCTGAAACTGTCCGTTATGTTGAGTCTTGTAGATACATCTCATGAGTGTACATCTTCACATATTTCAGAAATGGTTTCTGTGATGTTCCAGGATTAATCTTAATTCGGAAAAAAACTAAAACATTAATCTGCCAATATGGACTCAATTCATAACAAACCTGTCGATGCCCTTAACCGGGATAATGATATTTCCTGTTATAGAATATGACCGACTTGAAAGCGAAGACAGCTCAAACAGGATTTAATTTCAACAAATATTAATCAGCTCACCTAAGAGAAAATTCCGCAATCAATTCACAACTTTAACTGGCTAATCCATGGATGTTATGAACACGCTTATTCATCCATAACCTGCACTCTTGTTCAGTTATATATAAAATATGTCAGAACATTTTACTGAATCTAATATACCAATCCTCATTTTACATCTCATTTGTATGGAACGTCTGCCTGGAGAGGGTAAGGTGGGTGGTTTGATGCTCGACCGCGTGATTCCAAATGTCGTAAAAAGATAATGCTCGATGTTTTGCTGCCTGTCACTCGGCATTTAGGGGATAAAACTTCGGCATTAGTCGCCAAACCGATGCGCACGTCTGCATGTTCACTCACTCGTTCCAGTGATGGTTGTTGGAAATTACTATCTCCACATGAGTGAGTAGGGTTTAACGGAGCTTCGAACAGTATTCAAGTTATATCAGGGGTATCAGCTTAATGTGGGAGGCTGCGACACCTAAGACGACTGGGCTGTCCCCTGCCCCCATCTCCACATGGGTGAGTGAGTGAGTGAGTTTCGTTTTAGCCCCTTTTAGCAATATTCCAGCGATATCACAGCGGGGGACACCATAAATGAGCTTCACACATTGTACCCCTGTCGGGAATCGAACCCAGGTCTTCCGCTTGACAAGCGAACTCTTTAACCACTGGGCTACCCGCCCGTCCCCCATCTCCACATGATCCTTCATAGCACAGAGCTGTGTGAGCAAGAGATTATGATATCAGAACTTCTTCTAGCAATATGAAGAATGGGCTTACACGTGTCCCCATGTAGGGAATCTGTGTGACAAGCAAACACTTAGGCCATGAGTCTACCCAACTACCTCACACAGCATATGCTTTGTTGTAATGTAAACATACATAATGAAGGACAAAATTAAATTACTCAAATTACATCTGTATCTACTGAAATGAAATGTTGGCTGAGAACGCAAAATATATGTAAAACAGTGAAGTGAGAGTGAATGTTGTTTAAGCAGTGGTCACTGTCACACCTATATCATTGTAGCTTGATGGTAACTAAGCGGTTGAAAGCAGGATTTGTTTCTTTGTAGTCTAAGGGTAAGGTTAACCTGTAAACATTTGAGTCTGGACCACACAATCCACTGATTCATATTATCAGTGTCAACCCATGCCATCCAGGTACAAGACACAGAGTCAAAGAAGTCACCAAACCAGACAACCCGATCCATTAAATTGCATCTTATGACCAGCATAGGTTGCTGGAAAGCAATTCTAACTCAGAATCAAAAGCACAAACATTCATCAAATCCATCTGATAATGATGACATCACCATCCTGGTTGTCACTGGCTACCTTCCGATCACCATCATCATCATCATCATCATCATCATCTGCAAAACATTCATGATATCTCAGTCTTCCGAGACTGCAAGGAAAGTTCCTTCACTGCCTCAATGATAAGTAAGTCTGCCTTCATAGATACAGATTTTATTTAATTCAATTCCAGTCAACCATCTGACATATATACAACTATATGTTAATGTACACAGCAATGGGGGGACTGGTCATAATGCTCATTTACTGAATACTGAACAACTTCTTCATTCCACCAGCAGTGGATTTACTTCCAGATGTGGTCCATGCTAACATCTGAGAAAGTTTGGGAGGATCTCTACTGAGATTTAGGAATTCACCCAAGACAATACATACTGCTCCACTCTCTATTTATTTCCTTCAGGTCTCATAAAAGTATTCAAATCTACAGTAAACTACGGTTATACCTAACTCAAAGGGACCACAAGTTTTCGTTCGTTATAACCGTAGTTCGTTATAAGCATATAAACAGCATATAGACAGCATATGACAGGGACCTAAAAACCAGTTCGTTATATCCGCCAGTTCGTTATAAGCATGTTCGTTATAAACGTAGTTTACTGTATTTTTACTTTGATATAATACAGCATTGATAAGAAGTCATATAATACAATTATATCTGAACATGTTTTATTCAATTTGGGAAAATACTGGAATGACCTTAAATGTTATGCAATTGAGGAAGTAGTATTCATATGCTGCAATTGTGTAAAGCCAAACATTAACTTACAAATCAATATAAATGACAAAAACTGAATATTCCCCAACAGCCATTAATTTTTATGAAGCTATCACAGATATTACTGGGATGAAACAATATGCCATGACAAATGACACAATATATCACAAATGAATCTAAAAACAAGGGCAGTATGTGACAAAGATTGGCTTGAGCAGGTTTGTATTGTGTCAGTCTAGAAGTACTCAGTCAGCCGGTTGTCACTCCGTAGCTTCTGTTCCAGGGCCATGTACTTGTGTGGAGCCATCTCCTTGTGTCTGAAACATGAATACAGCTTTTTTCAAACCAACTGTGACATAGATTATCTGATTTAACCAAACAACATGAGGCCATGTTCATATTCAGGTTCTCAGTGCCATAGGCAGATCCAGAGATGGGCTTTGGGGGCCCTCCTCAATATAGTCAGCCCTCCTCAATATAGTCAGCTCTCCTCAATATAGTCAGCTCTCCTCAATATAGTCAGCTCTCCTCAAAATAGTCAGCTCTCCTCATTATAGTCAGCCCTCCTCAATATAGTCAGCCCTCCTCAATATAGTCAGCCCTCCTCAATATAGTCAGTCCTCCTTAATATAGTCAGCCCTCCTCAATATAGTCAGCCCTCCTCAATATAGTCAGCCCTCCTCAATATAGTCAGCCCTCCTCAATATAGTCAGCCCTCCTCAATATAGTCAGCCCTCCTCAATATAGTCAGTCCTCCTCAATATAGTCAGCCCTCCTCAATATAGTCAGCCCTCCTCAATATAGTCAGCCCTCCTCAATATAGTCAGCCCTCCTCAATATAGTCAGCCCTCCTCAATATAGTCAGTCCTCCTCAATATAGTCAGCTCTCCTCAATAGAGTCAGTCCTCCCTAATATAGTCAGCCCTCCTTAATATAGTCAGCTCTCCTCAATATAGTCAGCTCTCCTCAATATAGTCAGCTCTCCTCAATATAGTCAGCCCTCCTCAATATAGTCAGCTCTCCTCAATATAGTCAGCTCTCCTCAATAGAGTCAGTCCTCCCTAATATAGTCAGCCCTCCTTAATATAGTCAGCTCTCCTCAATATAGTCAGCTCTCCTCAATATAGTCAGCTCTCCTCAATATAGTCAGCCCTCCTCAATGTAGTCAGCCCTCCTCAATATAGTCAGCCCTCCTCAATATAGTCAGCTCTCCTCAATATAGTCAGCCCTCCTCAATATAGTCAGCCCTCCTCAATATAGTCAGCTCTCCTCAATATAGTCAGCTCTCCTCAATAGAGTCAGTCCTCCCTAATATAGTCAGCCCTCCTTAATATAGTCAGCTCTCCTCAATATAGTCAGCTCTCCTCAATATAGTCAGCTCTCCTCAATATAGTCAGCCCTCATCAATATAGTCAGCCCTCCTCAATATAGTCAGCCCTCCTCAATATAGTCAGTCCTCCTTAATATAGTCAGCCCTCCTCAATATAGTCAGCTCTCCTCAATGTAGTCAGCCCTCCTCATTATAGTCAGCCCTCCTCAATATAGTCAGTCCTCCTTAATATAGTCAGCCCTCCTCAATATAGTCAGCCCTCATCAATATAGTCAGCCCTCCTCAATATAGTCAGCCCTCCTCAATATAGTCAGTCCTCCTTAATATAGTCAGCCCTCCTCAATATAGTCAGCTCTCCTCAATGTAGTCAGCCCTCCTCATTATAGTCAGCCCTCCTCAATATAGTCAGTCCTCCTTAATATAGTCAGCCCTCCTCAATATAGTCAGCCCTCCTCAATATAGTCAGCCCTCCTCAATATAGTCAGCCCTCCTCAATATAGTCAGTCCTCCTTAATATAGTCAGCCCTCCTCAATATAGTCAGCCCTCCTCAATATAGTCAGCCCTCCTCAGTATAGTCAGCCCTCCTCAATATAGTCAGCCCTCCTCAATATAGTCAGCCCTCCTTAATATAGTCAGCTCTCCTCAATATAGTCAGCTCTCCTCAATATAGTCAGCTCTCCTCAATGTAGTCAGCCCTCCTCATTATAGTCAGCCCTCCTCAATATAGTCAGTCCTCCTTAATATAGTCAGCCCTCATCAATATAGTCAGCCCTCCTCAATATAGTCAGCCCTCCTTAATATAGTCAGCCCTCCTCAATATAGTCAGCTCTCCTCAATGTAGTCAGCCCTCCTCATTATAGTCAGCCCTCCTCAATATAGTCAGTCCTCCTTAATATAGTCAGCCCTCCTCAATATAGTCAGCCCTCCTCAATATAGTCAGCCCTCCTCAATATAGTCAGCCCTCCTCAATATAGTCAGTCCTCCTTAATATAGTCAGCCCTCCTCAATATAGTCAGCCCTCCTCAATATAGTCAGCCCTCCTCAGTATAGTCAGCCCTCCTCAATATAGTCAGCCCTCCTCAATATAGTCAGCTCTCCTCAATATAGTCAGCCCTCCTCAATATAGTCAGCCCTCCTCAATATAGTCAGCCCTCCTCAATATAGTCAGTCCTCCTTAATATAGTCAGCCCTCCTCAATATAGTCAGCCCTCCTCAATATAGTCAGCCCTCCTCAATATAGTCAGCCCTCCTCAATATAGTCAGCCCTCCTCAATATAGTCAGCCCTCCTCAATATAGTCAGTCCTCCTCAATATAGTCAGCCCTCCTCAATATAGTCAGCCCTCCTCAATATAGTCAGCCCTCCTCAATATAGTCAGCCCTCCTCAATATAGTCAGCCCTCCTCAATATAGTCAGCCCTCCTCAATATAGTCAGTCCTCCTCAATATAGTCAGCCCTCCTTAATATAGTCAGCCCTCCTCAATATAGTCAGCCCTCCTCAATATAGTCAGCCCTCCTCAATATAGTCAGCCCTCCTCAATATAGTCAGTCCTCCTCAATATAGTCAGCCCTCCTTAATATAGTCAGCCCTCCTCAATATAGTCAGCCCTCCTCAATATAGTCAGCCCTCCTCAATATAGTCAGCCCTCCTCAATATAGTCAGTCCTCCTCAATATAGTCAGCCCTCCTTAATATAGTCAGCTCTCCTCAATATAGTCAGCTCTCCTCAATATAGTCAGCCCTCCTCAATATAGTCAGCCCTCCTCAATATAGTCAGCTCTCCTCATTATAGTCAGTCCTCCTCAATATAGTAAGCCCTCCTCAATATAGTCAGCTCTCCTCAATATAGCCAGCCTTCCTCAATATAGTCAGCCCTCCTCAATATAGTCAGCTCTCCTCAATATAGTCAGCTCTCCTCATTATAGTCAGCCCTCCTCAATATAGTCAGCTCTCCTCAATATAGTCAGCTCTCCTCAATATAGTCAGTCCTCCTCAATATAGTTAGCCCTCCTCAATATAGTCAGCTCTCCTCAATATAGTCAGCTCTCCTCATTATAGTCAGCTCTCCTCAATATAGTCAACGCTCCTCAATTTAGTCAACCCTCCTCAATATAGTCAACTCTCCTCAATATAGTCAGCCCTCCTCAATATAGTCAGCCCTCCTCAATACAGTCAGCCCTCCTCAATATAGTCAGCCCTCCTCACCTGTTGAGTCTGAGTTCCAGGATGTGGATGCGGAACATGGCCTCGCTGCAGTAGTTGAGGTACTCTTCCTCGTCATCCTTCTGCATGGACACCTGGTTCTGCTGGTACCAGCCCTGCTTCTTCTGCAGCTCCTGCGTCTCCTACAGCATCAGTGCATGAAAAGTTAGTAATGTTATTTATTACCCATAGAGTTAGAAATAACCAAGTCCATAAAAATCATATGTGCACTAGTGCAAATATCACTTCAAGCGCACCAGTGTATTGTTTTAGTCATCCAAACACCATTGTGACATAAGGTCGGAATCACGTCACACTAGAAATGATCTCATCGCTAAAGATTGTTGTGTCATTCGACAAATTGTGGTTTTCTAGGACAGCCATGGTAATCAGTACATTTTCCTAAAGGGGGTCTCAAAATGATTAAGAAATAATAGGTAATAAAGAAACTATTACACTCACACGTGTGTCATACTGATTTTACGAAAATCGTGTAAGAATTCATGTATTACACTTGCTCAGGAAATACGTAATTTCATAAAATCAGTGACACACATGCTTGTATAATAATCTCTATGTATTACTATGTATTACTCTCCATAAAACATCATGGCAAACAAAATCTATAAATTACTTCTGAGAAGTATTCCCTGGACAATAGTATCGTATCCTTCACATCCATACAGCATGGCTACTACCATAAATTCAACACCAGAGATATAAAATATCTGCTGCAACAAATTATCTGACCTACATTGTCAGGTGACAGTGATGAATGACACTGAATGTTTATGAGATAAGGTGAGTGAGAGTAATACTGTCACCTACAGCAACTACAGAACATCCTATTCCTAAGCTCAAACTGTAAATCTACCACATTGTTCCAATGATAACAAGGGGTTGTCAATCTTACCTTTTCGAACCTGGCCTGTATGAGGTTGGCCTTGTCAATGAGCCTCTGCTTGAGGTCGGCCAGACAGTCCTCCTTCAGCTTGTAGGCCTGGGTGCGAGATACCTTGTCCGGGTCACCGATCTGGGCCAGGAAGGGTGCCAGGTAGTCAATCTCCATCTCCTGCTTCCTCATCTTCTCCTCCAACTTGATACGTTCCTGGAAAAACACATCCTCTAATAATACACACTGGACCCTGAAGAATGACCTTCCATTTTCAGTAGCAATATTGGTCTCCTGGCCCTATATTTCTGAAACTAAGCCCAACACTCTCAAGGGCAATAGGATTTTATATCAGTGAGTGAATGCTGTTAAATTCCACACTCAATTTTCCAGTGTATTCCAGGTCAGGACCAGGCAAGTCAGTGCCGGAAAACATGAACAACGCCAATGGAGCACCATGAAACGCAATCATCAGAGTCACAGTGCCCGACCACTCAATCCTTTTGTGTTGCTTCTAATGACCAGCAATGGAATGCTGGGGAACCTATTCTAACCCAGGTACCCATGGAGAGGTATTCATGTCAGCTGAAGCACTGACTTCACAGAGCACAGGCATGACTTCAAACACAGTTAAACTGCTATCTCTTTTCCAGAAAATCATTGAGGCAGGTCTCTGACTGGGAGACCCTATTTTGAAAGATGTCTTGATGGATGTCCTGGGAGTCTCACTGTGTTTATGAATTCATGTGTTTAGTGTAAGGTACCCTGACAGGTACAGTGACATGCTTACCATCTCTCTCCTGTGTTTCTTTGCCTTCTCATTCCTCTCTGTGTCGTACACAGAAATCTCCAACTCTGAGTCACTCTCCTCCTTGGTTCTCTCATCCAGGATTTCCTTCACCTGTTATAATCACCAGGATTAGATACGGATGGTGGTTAGATGTGGAAAAAACATAAACATTCTGCTCCTTGGCATGTTCACTTTATTACTAAAAGAGAAACAGCTTGGACAATATTAAAAATATTCTTTGTAACCTTAATGAAAGCAAAGTTAATCTCAGTGTAAAATGAAATTATTTCACTTGTCAGTCTGACTATTATTCCTTATAATCTCCTTGTCACTAACCTCCTCCTCAGACTCTCGGAGACGCTCCCGACAGATTTCCTCAGCCTTGAGGAGTTCCAGCAGAGTCTGGTAGAGCTCCACCTGCTTATTGTAGGGAGCATTGGGGTCCACCTGAAAGCAGGGACAACAGGCATGTTTAGCAATATTTCATTATGTACACATATATGAGGCATGTATTAACCTTTAGCCTGCTGAATTATTTTCACACTTCTTACCCCTGCCTGCTGGATTAATTTTAGCATAAGGCGCTCTAAAGAGGGTGGGTGATTTCAAACAGTTGGTGCGTCATTAAACAAGGGCCAATTGAAGAAATATTTTGCACATTTATTCCTGATAGAAAACTACACAATACTATATAAAAATATCCTGATGTTTTCAATCATACCAAGGTTAAGACCAAAGCGAACACAAAATTTGTAAATTTTCTTGAACCTACCTGAATTGCGTTATTGAAGGTGGTTTGCATTTCATGCTAGGAACCTTTTAATATCGTAACATTTGTGCAAATTGATTTCAATAATCATATCTCCGATATCTTAATTTTAATTGAGTAAAAATTCGGGTTTTATAATCGGCATATATCAGCGCGATGGTAAATTATGAACCATTTCAGTGAATTTATTATCTAAACGTTAAACAGAAAAATAACTTAATTTTCGAGGTCATCATGTCGGTTGCAGAAATACGAATATTCGGGTTAATCTGACGTGTCATGTTATAAAATTTGCAGGAAACAATTAATGACTTATAAATATTCACTAATCCTAATTTCAAGCGTTTTGGTTGAATATTTACGATATACAAAAATAAACAACCCATGTCATGATGCTAGCAGACGTCCTAAAATCAAACATGGCGCGCTTCGCCCGACCTCCGCATAACTTATTGCTATTTTAATATCAACAAAGTTTACATTGCCTTTATAAATATAACTTGGCGAAAGTTGACGATCTTCTGAATCGAAGAATGTTTTCTTCGTCATATTCCAATAAATATGACGAGAGAAAAATGAAAATAAAGATCGTGAATTCTGACAGCACTATTTCAGTAAGTGCAAAGGTCACCGGATGTGATGTCACAGACAGGGGTAGTCTGCTGATAAGCTTTCGAAACAAAACAATTACAGTAAATTTTGAAATAGTTCGCCTATCACATAGAGCAAAAATATAAGTCGATACACAGTATCAGTAATCACCACTAACATGAAATAAATATGTGACTTTGACGATATAATTCACGTATTAGTTAATCCGTTTGACCTTGCATGCTCCCGTGACCCGGAAACGGTAGACGATAAATCAACATGCCACATGCAAGTTTCTCGGTATCTTTTATTTGAACTTCTGTTGATATTTAAGAATCACCATTCAATGTTGTGAATATAAATGGGACATAATTCATATTTCTGCGATGTACACGCTGATAAGTTTCACTACAACAAGTGTATCCCACGTAATACGACTATGGATATCGTCGATCAGCAAGATCACCCTCAACAACAGGTGCGCGAAAATGGGCTTGACAAAACTTGTTTCAAAATAACATACCCACGTTGCTGAATATGATAGGGTATATATAAGCAATAAAATGCTACGTACATATTTTCGGTGTTAGTTCCAAAATTACATTTAGGATAGTTTTCCTTTCGGGAATACATTCTAGCATGATTCTAGAACAGTTACACGAAGGATTTCTAATTTTTTTCCAAAAATATGAAGACCACCATGATTGCGTATTGATGATAGATTTGTAATTGTTTAATTATTTACAGCTGTTTACAGGTTTTAAAATTTTAAGTTATATTTAATAGTTATTTTTCCCACAATGATGGTGTGTGGGGACAGTAAATATTAGTCTTTGCATCAGCACAGTGTAACTGATCAAACTTCAATTATTATCTTTAGTTTAAACATATTTATTCAACAATTATTATCTTGCACTCTGAAAATCAACTATGTGAATAAGTAACTCTCTGATGTCATCATTTTAATTTTAGTTTTCCATGAATAATGAATAAATCAGATCCTTAACATATACGTACTAAACTCATATGAACATTAATCTTGTGCATTATGTGGTTTGTTTCCAAATAAAACAATTCTGAAATATAATTTAATAGGAATTAATTTAATTTAATTACAGTAACAGTACTTGTAACAGTACATGACATTTTTGTTTGTTTAATCACAAGAACCATGGTGGCACATGAGCTGGTAAGTTTGCCATAGGTTTCTTAGACAATGCAATCTCAGTCTTCTGGTTGGAATGAAAAGAAACATGCCTGTGTACATGTTTACCCTTGCCAGATGTATTTTTTCCAGTCAGCCAACCCATTACTTTTGTTCACCTTATGTGGTCTTTTTCATACATAAAGGTACTGCTTCCAACCTGTTTTTTCTTTGTATGCAATCACAGTATCACCACCTTCTCAGCTGGTGTGTATAAAAATTCCCCTGTCATCATGAAAAAAGAATTATAAAGAGAAGTCATATTTTCATTCAAAAACATATCTGTCTTTCCTTGAATACTCTTTGTCTAAGTGCCAGAAATGTCAGTGTCATAAAAAAATTAAAAAAAGATTTTCATAAGGACTTTTCTTAGATAGACCTAGATCAAAGTCAAACCATGTGACTAGTTAGGTAGAATAATACTTATAAGCCCTCATTTCTGAGGTGTCCATATTTTTCACATTTTAGGACTAAACGTGATCCATGTAGATCTGCCTGTTTTGTTATGTAAAACAAATTCTTGTCTTAAAAAATGAGAAAAGGAATCATTCAGACGAAATTTTTTATCCCATTGATTCACGAAAATCAGTTGAAATGTACAGTGGTGACTTTTGTACCCAAAATTTCTAGTAATTTGTTACCCAAATGGGTATGTGATTTTGTAGATCTACCTAGAATTATTTCAATTTGGTGTCTTAAACTTATCATAATATCACTTTCCTATCAAAACAATTCATTCTAACTTAGGTTTAACCAACTTAACTGGCCTCTCCTTCAGTGACAAGACGTCAATTTTCTCTCAACACTAAACAATCAATTTCAAGGATCACAGTCATAATCATATTTGGAACTTGATGAAATATTTTATCATGTGTTCTGTTCATCTACATGAAAACATAAATATAATTATAGATCTATTGTCTTATTTTCTAAGGTACAAATTCACAAAGTATTTTGGGTACAATTTAATTTGTTTTGGGTACAAAATCACATATATAGGAGCCTAGAATCTATATATATTTACACTAGCCTACCTCGTTGTGTACCAAAATTTTATCGGTTCAGAGGACGGGAGGTTCTCAGAAAGTTTTCAACAACATCTTTAATATTTAAATTGTTCTTTTTGTAATGTTAGACCAATAACAATATTATGTTATTATTATGGCATATCAATACGTTGTATCGTTCTCCGTTGCGTTCGTTTTTAGAAAATATTTTTAAAATTAAAATCATCGAGCGTGAAATCCATTACGGTTTCGGATTTAGACTTACACATTTGATGGCGACAATCACGAAGAAATATGAAACAAATAGGAGTGAAGACTGCTCTCCAGATCAATAAATAGTAAATAGTTGACGAAAAATAGTAAATTATGTATTTTCTTTTGAATTTGAATCTATTTCGGAATTTCTTTATGATAGCTTACCAACTTTTGCATATTTTGCTTCCATGTGTCACATGCGGTACGTGCTTCCGGTTTCAGAAATGATAGCTAAAATTGCAAGTATTTTGATTATTTCTCGTAAAATGCAATATTTTGCTATTGAATGGTTTACCTAGAATGTATATCAGTTCAGATTTTGCGTATCATCCAATATTTGTCATTTTTCGCAGCGTTTGTTGACTTTGTTAAACTCAACAATTCGCGAGTTAGGCCACGCCCAAACGTATCTCTGACGTTTGTCGGCTTGTCAATGTGTCGGAAAGTTTATCAAACAAAATCATTTGCAAACTCTTTAAAAATGAAATTCTTTTTACAAAGATTTATACATACGTGTCAATAATTCTAGAAAATTAAGTTAGATGTAACAAAATGATTGTAATAGTTTAACGGGATAACTATGCATGTGGAGTTGTTTGTTTACCGCCGTTGCCATGATCGTACAAGTTCCATCCAATCGATGATGTTACGATTCAGATTGTTTTTGTTTACAATTAGTTACAGCGAAAGTTGCGAATTTTTAGAAATAAAGGAACATGAGTGTTTTCCTTTCGTCAGCAAACCAAAAATTATGATCGAATAGGAAAAATGATGAAATTATAAAGAAAATATCGGACTGCATGCCGCTCAACGTGAAGTGCCAAAAGTCAACAATGGCCGTTTCTGGTAGTTGTGTGCCGAGAAGTTTGGCCGAAACATTTTTAACTCGCGATATTTTCTTTTTGAGGTAAATAAATGACTGAACGTTTTGATATTGAGCAAGCTGAGCATTTATGCATGTCATACGTAATTTAAATGTTACGCAAAGCCTTCTTGGTAAATAGATATGGCGAGTTTTATTTTGGGGTGTTGTTATGCTATTCGCCTGTCGAATGGGTTCGACATCAGATGCACGGGGATGGACACCTCTGTCGAATGGGTTCGACGTTAGCGTGCAGAGCTTTAAGGGAGTACTTGACGACATGAGGGCTATGGGGCTATATGGGACTTATCATGAGACGGGACATCTGGATTACTAGGCTAGGACTTCGGGACTACAGGGTAACATCGGGATTATGGGCTGGGCTGGGCTTCGGGACTACAGGGTAACATCGGGATTATGGGCTGGGCTGGGCTGGGCTGGGCTGGGCTGGGCTTGGACTTCGGGACCACAGGATAACCCTGGGATTACGGGCTGGGCTGGGATTTCGGGACTCCATAGACAACAAGATAACTGGACATCTGGATTACTAGGCTGGGACTTCGGGACTACAGGGTAACATCGGGATTATGGGCTGGGCTGGGCTGGGCTGGGCTGGGCTTGGCTGGGACTTCGGGACTACAGGGTAACATCGGGATTATGGGCTGGGCTTGGATTTCTGGAGTCCATAGACAACAAGATAACTGGACATTTGGATTACTGGGCTGGGATTTCTGGGCTAATCGTGACTACTGGACAACTTTAGTGAGGTGAGGTAAAATGTGGTATAATGTCGCGTTCAAGATTTTTTGTGTAAACTTCCCCACTGAGATACCATACCGCAGTGTGACATGAATACCCCACTCAGGCACAGTATACTGACTCCGAGCCGACCAGTCCTTGTTGTAGCCCCTTAATGCCGAGCACCAGACAGGGTAACAACAAGTACCATCTTTTAACATCTTTTGGTATGACACGGCCGGGAATCGAATCCCAGACCTTCTGCTCTCTGGGCGGATGCTCTACCACTAGACCACGGAGGCTGTGGACTACTTAGTACCTGGAATGTCTGGTGCATCTCTGGAGTCCAGGCCAGCACAGCTCCCTTCTCCTCCCAGTTAGTGGGCTTGCTGAACTCCCTGGTGGATGACGCGATTCTCTTGTCCTCTGTGTGGCAAGTCAGGAAGATCTTGTCATCCGACATGGTGAAGATCATTTCTGCAATGTCACAGTTGGCTGGTTTGGATTTGTTTCGGTGGAATTTCTGGGTCATTTTCTGAAAAGAAAAAAAAGGAAGTGATTCATGTTTTTAAAACATACAGTTATTGATATAGTTCTTGAAATCAAATATACATGATCCTACTATCCCAAACTGCCCTTCAGTACACACTGTCAAAAGCTTGCTTGACCAACATGCTTCTGATACTTAAAACAAGAGGCTAAAGTTGCCAACATACCTATGTTCCATACCAAATACTGTAATCACCTTAATAAGCACCCTGGATCTTTTAAAAACCATACACTAGTTAAATTTTCTGCCAGAGATCGAGTAATAGAGAACAGAATGAAATGTTTTCGTTAATAGTTACAGGGCAGTTACATAACTTTTTAACTGTAAAAATATCTGTAGTATCCACAAATAAATATGTACTGTCATGACAATTTTCGGGCTTACTACAGGCACTCATAAAGATTACATACAGATTGGTCGAGAAGTTGATCAGGATGCGCTTATTGGAGCGGGGCGCATAAAATGACTGTTACGGTAAAGAAAATAATCAATACATGTTATGTGCAAATAAGACTTTCAAGATGAAAACTATTGCCAAGAGATAATAATGCACAGAGCCATCAAGGGAAAATCGATGATATTATTGCCAGTTAATTTCTATATTCTCTCTTAACCATCCATTTGCAAAACACTATATTTGCTGCTGTCAGTCAGATAGTCCACATGGACATAAAGACATTATATTCCATTGATGTCGTGAACACATGGAGATGGTAGCCCTGAAGGACAACTATTTCATTACTTCCAGTAATAACCCACACAAGGATGGTCAATTTCAAGAATGAAATAGACATGAAAATAGACATTGTATATATATGCATATTACAACATAATGTCCAACTGAAAACAGATCTTTGCGTAAGACATGTGCTACAGGGAATCGTCATTCCGAACAGACACCACTATCAAGCTGTCACTCAGCTTAATTCGTCTATTTCCAAAGGCAAGAGAACCAGAAAAGTGGTCCTCATGTACATGGAGCATGAAGTTCATATCACAAATTTGCCATAAACACCTGTGGCAATCATGAAGAAGGAAATACGAGCCACCTACGACTGTAACATACGTCACTGCAATCAACATAGAAATAAAACAGTCTGGTTTAAATACAGTTCTCTGCATTGCAGCTCTGTGTTTCCTGCCAAGCCAGGGGCTAAATATGCCCCTGTGCGTCATGTATTTGGCTTGTATTTGCCATCAGTGCTGCACTTGCTATACAATTAGAATCCTTGTGCAAGCGTGGCTCCAACAGACTGGGTGGGGTATTGTTGGAAATACTATTAATAACGAAAATTATTAACAAAATCATCCCAGCATGTTGATTAAGATTTTGCATGTTGCAATTTCTATTCTAGATCTGTGAGCCATACATAGTTTGGACATGTGATGGTGCAACTTCTATTTCACAGAAATCTGTATGAGGTGTTTGCTGTATGTTTCAATATACATTTTATTCAACAATATTTTGACACAATATATTTTTATCTTGTTTTGTTTCATATATATATATATGTTTTGATCCATCAATATGTGTCTCATAAATTATGCAAATAAACCAACATGAACAAACTAGGTAATAATGATAACATATGAAGTGTACATTAACAAAATTATTGTGATTTCCTTCCCAACCATGCTATTGATTATCTTATGTTGATTATCTTGTTGTTTGTTTTTTAATCCCATACTCAGCATTTTGATGGCAGCCTATAACAGAGTGATTGATATCATGAGCAACGATCCACGTCGTCCGAGTACGATGACAGGCTACCAAGACCAAACGTCCAATCCACTAAGTTACCTCATAAGGTGAGCATTTGTTGCTGTTGACCCTAGATTCTTGTAATGATTTGTTTGCTTCTGGGGATTCTTTCTAACCCTGAATCCCAACAGGGGCATGTTGTCATGGAGAATTTGGCTTAAATTTGATCAAACAATAACAAAAGCTGGGACTTTGAGTTACACCTCGCATCATTCAATAGACTCACCCAATAGCTTTAGTGTGGAGAGGTGCTCAGAGAAGTGCTCAGCTAGATGCAATTCTGTCTAACAGTGTAGATTTCTCTATACAGAAAGGTACCTGGGCCACAACAAACCCTTCAGCTCAAGTAAGGATGATTGTTAGTTGTTTAACACCTCACTCAACAATATTCCATCCATACACTGACGACAATACAATCCAGTGATATTACATCACCTATTTGTTCCAATCTGCCTACAACGCTCAGTGAACTCTCCCTTTGACCACCAGACTCATGCAAAAGTGTCTTTGAGCAGATCCAGTCTGGAAATTGGCGCTATATAAATTTATATATTATTATTGTTGCTGTCATTATTATTATTTCTATTATTATTATTATTATTGTTGTTGTTGTTGTTGTTGTTATCATCATTATCATTATCAATATCATTTATAGATTAAAAATAAAAAATGCAGCAAAGAGGGTTTGGCACAGTCAGGCTGGTTAGGCTCATCATCAGCTCAGGGCCCTTGCCCCCTCCACACACAACCCAGACAGCGAATAGGACTTCTCCCAGTGCCGCCTAGTCAAACCCACCCAGAACTTTACGGAGAATGGGAAGACTCCCCAACACTGCAGCCTTCTGCATTACCCAGATTGTCAGAAGGGCTGTATTCCTGATAGCAACCCCGGGTACTCTCCCCATGTCAGTCAACAGATTGGGATACCAAACCTAAGGCACCGAGAACAATGGGGAGTCGGACAACTTGGAACTTGGGATGCAAGCGTGACATTTCGAAAGCGAGGTCTGCATATTTGCCATGTTTTTCCTCAATCTTGTCAATCACATTTCTGTGAAAAGGGACAGAAAGTTCAGTGATATAAATGATTTCATTGGTTTTATCAAAAAGGACAAGATCAGGTTTGTTGGCCTGGATATGTCTGAGGCTGTATACAGGCCTATTCCAAAGGATTTTGTATTTATCATTTTCCATGACGCCTACATATTCAGGGTTGTACCATGGATGGACCTCTGTGTCAAAACCACAAGCATGGCGAAGACAGTAATAAAATGATAGAGCCACCCCATCATGTTGCTTAAGATACTGTGTCTGTGCCAAAGCTGGGCATCCACTCACAATGTGTTGGACAGTCTCATTAAATTCATTACATAATCTAAATTTCATATTCATATTTTGATGCAAAATCACACATTGACAGTTTTGAGTTGGAAGTGACTGGTCCTGAGCAGCAAACAGAAAGCCTTCTGTTTCACTTTTCAGGCCAGACGACTTCATCCAAGTGAAGGACTCTGCAAGATTGCTGATCTTCTCAAAACGCTACACATAAACTTGATTCAGTGGTTGTTCAGAAAGCCTCTCCTTGAAAAACTGAGTCTGGGCCGATTTGATATGGCACTTTGCTTGGTTGACACTCATTTCTGTACCGCCCAGCAGTAAAGAACCATCAACATAATCAACATTGACTTTGAGATTATGTCCCACATCCTTGGCTCGTTTTAGAAAACTGTGGAATGCCTTGTTTTCATCATGAGTCTTGACATGCTTCACAAGAGCATCATCAGACAAATAAATGTGTTCAAAAGTGGACAAAACATTATTATTATTATTATTGTTATTGTTATTATTATTATTATTATTATTATTAATACGAGTAACAATCCATGTCCTTTAGGTGTGATGCCTCGCAATCAACTAAGTCAACAATCCTGACCGGCAAATCCACAAAGTTGCCTCTTATGACCAGCACAGGTTGCTTGGGACCTCTCCTTACCTGGAATCCCCAGGGGCAGCTCAAGTACAAGGCCTACACATTAGCAGGCTTGGTATCAGTAACCTAGAAGAACATGCATCTAAAGACAGCCACGGTGCCATGTACATGCTGCTAACTTAACATAGTGTGCATGTAAACACTGAGGCCATCAACGAGTTCATGGTAACGTGTGTAAAATATTGGTGTTGAATTAGAAATTGCTTGGATTTAATGCCATGTTAATGCAAATAAACTCTGAGAGAATCAATAATAATTGATTTGCATGAGTGGTATTTTCACATATCAAGTTTCAGAATTATTCTTGACATTCAAATTGTCCTTCAGCAATCATTTTTGTAAGATTTTTAAACCTCAATCGTGAAAGAAATTGCTAATTGGAAGAACTTGATAGCCAAGAAAGAATATCTAAAACCGATGAAACCCTATAAAGTCTCAGTTTTAAGTTGAATTAAATCCTTTCTTAGGGACACAAAACCACCAGGAAATTGCAAATTGCTTGAAATTATTAGTTTAAACTCACCTTCTACTTTGAATGAATATAATGTGTACATTCTTTGTCAAAAATAGTACAGATATCATGGATATTAGAAATGTTGAACAAATATTAATAAAAAAAATATCAGCTTCACATTTCAGTTAAAATAGACTATCCATGATTAAAATCAATATTTTCATAAGGTCAATACGGGAATTAACTGTATATATATATATATAACTCTTGATGCTTAATATGCTTCAGTGCATTTATGTCGTATGTATTTCTGATATTTGCATTGAATATAGAAAAATAAAATCCTACTTTTTGCGAAAATGGTTATATCACACGCTGCTGTTCAAGTTCACAAGTTTTGTAAATATTTAACATGAAAATGTTTTCCATTTCAACACATAACTCTCCTCATGAGATGCCATTTTGGAAAAAGAACGTCACTGACATCAATAGACAATATAGCCCAAAATATTTTCAAATATGATGAAAATATAACCTTTTTAAACTTGACAGATGGAAAAAGTTCTGACTTTCAAAGAATCTCAACAAAGACTTATTACACAAGAGGGAAAAAATGAATTCCTTTCTCAAAATTATAAACATACGGACTGGCCGTAAGGAAGACTGACACTGACGTCAAGACAAGAAAGAAATGTCAAGCTTGCCGCTGAGATGTCAAATTAAAACTATTTCCAGCTTGGTCAAATAGCTGCCGCTAAAGAAAAGCCACGCAGAATAAAACTATAATGGCCTCCTACTGTTGGTAGGCATCAAGTCGACAATTAATACCATCACTCGGATGTTGGCAGTGACAGTGTTGGCAGATAATGATAGCTTGATAATTTGGGGATTACTGGTAGTGAGGCCTTGCTGGACATGACAAGGGGCTTTGTCAATGTTAGATAATCAGATGAGATGAGCATCCTCAGTGTGTCCTTCTCTCAACACCGAACATGGAACCTGACTGGTGAAGGGCAGCGTCTCTTCTAAGGAATCTTGTACAGATCAGTTCTCATGATTTTTTTGCCTTAGAAAATGCCAAGCTGTCATCGAATTTGCTGAAATATGTGTCAACTGTTTGCACACATATTCTTTTATTCAAAGGGCTAACAATTTGTTTTGTGTTTTACAGTTTCATCATTGTCACAAAATAGAGGACGCAAAGTTGAAAAACAAACATTATTTTTTATATATTTCCTTCAACAAACTCGAAGTTAAGAAAAACAGATGGTTACATAAGCATAGTTTTATCGTAAAGTCTTGTTAAAGATTTAGGCAGCTTCTTCAATAAAACACAAAAACAAAATGTGTCTGGCCTGACAAAAAAAAGCCTTCTTGCTGTTCAAGATATTGGGCAAATTATTTGTTGTACAAAATGTATTGAAAAAAATTGTGTGTATGTCAATATCACTCCTTCTAGACTTTTATTCCTATTCACAAGTTCAAACATTGTTGATAACTTTGAGACAAATAGCACCAAGAATTAAAAACATATTTGAATATATATTTAGTTCAGCACATATCCTTCCAATAGATACAATTTCTGACTCAAGTTTACTTTAAAAATTGGGAAGTTAAAGTTAAAATTAAACTATGCAGTCAACAAAATTCCAACCCTGTAAATAAGTATGTATTGACGAGACCAAACTGTGACTGAACATGCTGAAAGCATGGTCAGTGATCTACATTCTCACGGTACAACACACAAAAGTAGCCAAGACATCCCTGATCCTGGTTAGTTGGCTCCTAACACAAGCCTGGGTTACCATGGTTACTAGGGACCTCATCCTTCCCAGTATCATATAGTGACTCACATTATGACATAACAGTACACAATGCAGCAACTGCCAAATATACAACAGTTTTCAACAAATACAACAATTCCTTACCAATATAGGTCTCTGGTTGGCCGATGAGGACCCATCCTGTGGGCCAAACTTCTTTACTCTCTTGCTAAAGATGACATGTTTGTAGAAGAGGAAGTCATCTCTGTCTTTGAAGTGCTCGGTCATCTCAGCCGGTGTCTCAATACGTTTGACCAGTCCATCCACTCGGGCATCATTGTGGAAGGTCATCGTCCTCTCATTCTCTGGTCCTGGCTGACTGGCCTTGTACTGGTGCTCTGACAGGTCAAGAATAATACTAGATTTAAATATCAAATAACCAAAGACAGAGCTGACAACCCCCAAGGGTGTGTTCGGAGTGAGATTACCTGTCACCATAGATGTACCGAATACATAATTTTGCGTGAGATGTTTGCTGAGGAGTGTTAGAGCATTTGATCCAAAGGCGTGAACTTCACGCATGTTGCTGACAGATCTGCAAAGGCTCTTCTTTTGTGATCCTTTGTAAAACATGAAGGTAAAATATCATGTGAAGTTCCACAAAGAAGTTCCAAAGATTGACAGGAGACCATGCATGGCCTGGCACTGGTGAACCTGGTCTAACAGCATTTAACCTGGTCTGACGAGATGGTAATGCAAATGGCTGACTGGCTTGTATATATATATATTTAAGGGTGGCTGCTTATCACGAATTCGAGATAGAATTACATAGAGCTATCTCAAACCTTGAACTCAGTTCCAACTTTGACTTTACTACAGAATTTTGTACCTTTATCTCAAAGTTGGCATTTGTCACATTAACAGTTTTGAAAAGTGCAAGTGAGTGAGTGAGTGAGTGAGTTGGGTTTAACGCCGCTTTTAACAGTATTCCAGTTATATCACGGCGTGTCAGCTTAATGTGGGAGGAAAGCCCGAAGTGATGCAGGTCTCAGACATTTACCACTTCAGTGAAACCCACGAGCACGGGTATGGTGCTGACATACCTAGAAACATAATCGGGGCGAACCGGGATTCGAACCCACAATCATAGGTTTCTGGCGTGCCCAAGGGATGCAACTCTGCACAGCGAATCGCGGCGCATTAGACGACTGGGCCACCCGTGCCCCCGAAAAGTGCAAGTATATCTCCTTTCTCCTCACATCTAACATAGCTTTATATGTACAGTGCAGTTTAAACCTATACAGTGCCGTAGCCAGCCGGGGGGCAGGGGGGCCAGTTGACCCCCCTAGATTTTTCATAGAAAACAGTTTTATTTGAATCAAGTTGGGGACAAGTGATACTTGTACAAATATTTGCCCCCCCTGTCAAAAAAAGCTAACCTACGGCCTTGCAATAGCTCAACCAATTACAGTAAACTACGGTTATAACAAACACGCTTATAACGAACTGACGGATATAACGAACTTACTTTTTTAGTCCCGACTATTTGCTGTAGTTATGCTGTATATATGCTTATAACGAACTACCGTTATAACGAACTAAAATTAGTAGTCCCTATGAGTTCGTTATAACCGTAGTTTACTGTATGTACTTTCCTTTTTAACCCAATTGTAATTGTAATCTCTATTGACAAATAAAACATTGTGCTTAGACATGAGCAAATCATGGCAGAACTTCCTGGGTACATCAAAAAGTGCTAATCAAAGTCGGATTAAAGGAATCAAAGCCATGTGATGCAAATCACAATATCCAAGCTGTGAATTTAAAACCTTGAGGTGAGACTGGCACTTGGTTATCGTATTGCTGTGCATATATATTACTGTTACTTGATCTGTCTGGATCTTCATGCCTCGTTATCTCGAATGCATATTTTGAAGTCATAACGTGTCCTGTTAGGTATAACGGGTTCGACTGTATATCCCAATGGGGGGCACCAAGAACTGGTTTCACACATTTCGCCCATGTGAGGATTCAAACCTGGGTCTTCAGTGTGATGAGCAAATGCTTCATCTAGTTGCCCTAACCCAAGCACACCTCTCAAGGCAATAGGTGGTGTTCCATTTCATTTTCACACTCCAGTAAGTACTACATCATTTCCAAAACAATATACTCTACATTATTTATCTGAGACAACAATAACTATTAATTTTTTATCCAAATTAATAAACAATGTGAGAAGATTGGTATTTTCTTTTCTAACACACTGATCCACATGATCAAAGCATGTGTGTACATTAACAGTCAATGGATGTGATTCACATGACAGGACCACTTGTGTATTTCAACAAGTAAACATTGAAAAGAGAGAAGGGTGCATACATTTTTTAGCGACTTGGGGACAACAAAATGATTTCAGGCAGGGTGTTTGGTAGTGAGAAAGGTTGGGAAGAAAATCATTTAAGTAATTTAGCAAGGCCTTTGGGTTCTAAAAGATTATGTGATCCCTGGCACTGGCATCATGATTAATGAGTTTGAGTTTTTCCAATATATTTTTAATAAGTTGGAAAATAGATAAGGCAAGGACGAACATGATGAAAAGGACACTGAAATTGTCTCATATCTTCCAAAACAATAAGATGACAAAGCCCCGATAAAAAATCCAGTGTAATTTGAGTTGAAAGCAGAGGAGGATAAAAAAGACATTAAAGTGTCTAAATGCGGAAAAAACGACCTCCTATGAAAGGAGAACTATCATATATATCAGATTAATAATGAAATAACCACAAGAAAATATTTTTTACAAAAACAGGTTGTCATTTATACCATGTTTACTGGAGTTCTGAGAAAAGTCTGCTCATTAAATGATCACTTGATATATGTTTGTAAGATCTCTCTGAAGTGCTATTTCTGCATCATCCCTTTGTCAGCTCAAATTACCTCATGGACAGTGTGGGTGATTGTCAAGCCTCTGGCTTGTAGCTATCCTATTAGGTTTCATAAAAGAACCAACCCAGTGAGCACCGATACAAGAACTATCCAAGTGAGCACCAATGCAAGAACTATCCAAGTCAGAGCCCATGCAAGAACTATCCAAGTCAGCACCCATGCAAGACATATCCAAGTCAGCACCGATACAAGAGCTATCCAAGCGAGCAACCATGCAAGAACTATCCAAGTCAGCACCCATGCAAGAACTATCCAAGTGAGCACCCATGCAAGAACTATCCAAGTGAGCACCGATACAAGAACTATCCACGTGAGCACCCATGCAAGAACTATCCAAGTCAACACCCATGCAAGAACTATCCAAGTGAGCACCGATACAAGACTCACCAAGTCAGCACCCATGCAAGAACTATCCAAGTCAGCACCCATGCAAGAACTATCCAAGTCAGCACCGATACAAGAACTATCCACAAGCACCCATGCAAGAACTATAAAAGTCAGCATCCATGCAAGAACTGTCCACGTGAGCACCGATACAAGAACTATCCAAGTGAGCACCCATGCAAGAACTATCCAAGTGATCACCGATACAAGAACTATCTAAGTGAGCACCCATGCAAGAACTATCCAAGTCAGCACCGATACAAGAACTATCCAAGTCAGCACCGATACAAGAACTATCCAAGTGAGAACCGATACAAGAACTATCCAAGTGAGCACCCATGCAAGAACTATCCAAGTGAGCACCGATACAAGAACTATCCAAGTGAGCACCCATGCAAGAACTATCCACGTGAGCACCCATGCAAGAACTATACAAGTGAGCACCCATACAAGAACTATCCAAGTGAGCACCCATGCAAGAACTCTCTTAGTGAACACCCATGCAAGAACTATCCACGTGAGCACCGATACAAGAACTATCCAAGTCAGCACCGATACAAGAACTATCCAAGTGAGCACCCATGCAAGAACTATCCAAGTCAGCACCCATGCAAGAATTATCCAAGTCAGCACCCATGCAAGAACTATCCTAGTCAACACCCATGCAAGAACTATCCTAGTTAACACCCATGCAAGAACTATCCAAGTCAGCACCCATGCAAGAACTATCTTAGTTAACACCCATGCAAGAACTATCCAAGTCAGCACCCATGCAAGAACTATCCAAGTCAGCACCCATGCAAGAACTATCTTAGTTAACACCCATGCAAGAACTATCCAAGTCAGCACCCATGCAAGAACTATCTTAGTTAACACCCATGCAAGAACTATCCAAGTCAGCACCCATGCAAGAACTATCTTAGTTAACACCCATGCAAGAACTATCCAAGTCAGCACCCATGCAAGAACTATCTTAGTAAACACCCTTGCAAGAACTATCCTAGCATTAAAAAAGAGTAATTGGTATTATCTCAGTTAAGATGTGAAGAAATTGCCTAATTTTGTTCAAGATATCCATGTGTGGACAAGCCATACCTTTAAGACATTTGACTCGACCAGGGTTGAAGAACTCGGTGACCCAGCCAGTGCGATGGTTGTGCACCCTTGTGTGGAGCTTGTCCTTACGATGTGCATAGTACTCCTTCACAAGGACAAGGTCCGTCACTGCAAGGAACAGATGTCAGTGAGTGAGGGGTATTTTATAGTGCAAAGGCTCATACACAATTGATGCTCAAAACATAATTATGACAAAACAAATCAGACTGCACATACCAGGGGATACTTCTTTTAATAAATATTTTTAAAATAAATTTTAACAGAGGACAGAATTCAATTTAATGTTATGGTTCATGGGTAGTATTCTGCAAAATGTGAAAAAAAAGCATTATGAGAATATGCAGCCATGTGTTCAGTGGTTTAAAGCTTGTCTGTTGTTTAAATGTATTGTAACCTATTCACCTGCAGTTTAACCTATCGTTATGTGGTGAACAGGGTTAGAACCATACTAAAGCTTTACTAGCCCGGATAAAGATAAAATGCCCTTGTAATGTTAAAAGAAATGGGAAATTTGTCCATACCAACAGGAACTTGTACTAGTCCCAGGTTTGCATCAAGTGTTAATTTCTAAGGGTGAATTTTACAGAATTCATAAATAGTGCTTATAATAGACTTTATATATTGCCTCAAATCTTTTTCTTAATGAAACAGCCTAAGCAGTCCCAGGTGACACTCACACTCTTTGTCATCGTACACAGACAGCCGAGACACAAGGCCATCGTTGAGGAGATAGTGGGCAAACTTTTCCAGCTTAGCTCGCTTGTACAGTTTGGTCTTCTTGCCTTGTGGACAACGCATCTCAAAATCTGTCACATAAGTACATGCAGTATGGATGAGGATTCAAGCATTAAACAGTCAAACAATTCCCTTTGCAGAAATTCTGTGATATGACATTTTTATTTCATTTCTTTTGCAGGCTCCCTGAAATATAAGAGTGGTGAAGGGGAGATAACCCCTGGTGTTCAGTGAGTGTTTACATAAGGGGGGTGACCAAAGAGTACAAACAACTTACTTGCAAAGAGTAACATCATGAGACGCGACTATCTGGGGCTAATTTCATTGGAGCTAGTTTCACTGGAGCGAGCGAGTGAGTGAGTGAGTGAGTGAGTGAGTGAGTGAGTGAGTGAGTGAGTGAGTATGGTTTTACGCCGCTTTTAGCAATATTCCAGCAATATCACGTCAGGGGACACCAGAAATGGGCTTCACACATTGTACCTATGTCGGGAATCGAACCGGGGTATTCAGCGTGACTAGCGAACGCTTTAACCACTAGGCTACCCGACCGCCCCAGTTTCACTAGAAACGTTATGGTGATGTCTGTGTGTTGTCAGTTTTGTTCACAAGCCCCCAAAAGATGTAAAGGATGTGTGTACACTAGTTTGATAAGGAGTTAGTCTGAGACATGTAACATCACTGATGGAACTGTCGGAGTGACACTAAGATAAACACTAGACAAATTAACAAATCTGACAAAAAACATTTCCTTTATGCTGACAGGCTCAGTGTCCATCGTCATAATTGTTTGTGCATGTTGTGATGTGTTGCTAAGCAACATGACATCACTTCAGAGCATCATATAAAAGGCTGGGCTCATGTCTTATCTATTTTGCAAACCCAGATGTTTAAAACATTTTTGTACGAAATAATAATGTGGTTAGCAATACCAGCATACCAAACACACTACCTCGAAGTATTATACCTGAGTTAACATGAAACAAACACAGTAAGAACATGTCTAACTTTATGTATAACAGCTTCTGGTTTGTTGCATATGGCGACGTTTTGATGTAGATTCTTACTCCGTTAACAAGCCGGAGCGATGGTATGTGATGTGGCTACATGTGGCTTCCTTTGTTTGTCACAACAGAACCTGTGTGCACGTTCAGTTACCATACCGAGAATCTGGTGGCGATTCGATACATGTGTCATTAGCTTTCCGTCTTGTGGAGTACAAGTCCATTGACCTCATAAAATCCTGTGCGGCCCATTATTGAACCATTTAACTCACGAAACATCTTCCTGAGGCAGGGGAGTTAACTGGCTATAAAAGTCCAGATTCCACCCTTGGCCAAATTTACAGGCAGCTAACTCCCTTGCCTCGGGAACATGCTATGCAACAGCGATGTCATGAAAGTCGTCCATGAAAACCTGTGGTTTGCTTGATTTCATGAGCAACAACGTAAGTGTTGTGGGGGTACTATGACAAGGGGGATGGTGAATCTCGCCTGCCCTTGAACCCAAACAACTGACATTATTGTGGTGGTGGTGGTGATGGAAATAATAAAAATATTTGATGGGTTTGGCGGAAGAGATAGGTCATGAGAAGTGCTTTGAATGCAGAATAGACAGGACAGGTTTTGAGTTCAAATGGTATCTGGTTCCATGCAACTGCTGCGGCAAATGAGCAGAATCTGCCTCCATGGTGCGTTCACAACAGGGGCAGTCAGGAGATCAGTCAACTAATGAGGCTGCTACCCACCTCTGAGGGAGAGTCTGAGGGGCTCCACCCAGGATGGGGGCATGTCAAGGTGCTTCTCTACGTCATCATTACTCTCCTGCAACACAACAGATATTTATCATGTGATAAAATTAAAAGCAGACAAATCAGTCGACTTCTTACCAACATTTTTGGAAAGAGCTGTCTGTTAATGAATCAGCAAGTTATCAAGTTTATGACATACAATATATGTTCAATATAGGAATAATCACAACATAAAACCATGACAGAAAAAAAACATGGTAAACTTGAAAAAGTCCTGCACATTCAGAAGCATCTCCAACAACAAGGACCTACCTCATCATCATCCAGGCCGTCCATGAGATCTTCCTCAGTCTCCGGGATCTGCAGCAGGTGCTTGTCCACACCCGGGAACATGTACTCCCACATCGTACAGTCTCCCAGGTCATAGGACAGGCCCTGGAATAAGGTTATGTCACAGTTACTCCAGGTCAGGTGGTGAGTTGAACTTCACTTTCAAGATCATTTCCATTAAACTTTCGACAGTGTTCAGTAGGGTAAAAAAAATGGTAGCCTTAAATTCCTCTCTTTTCAACTACAAGTAATGGAGTGTGCATGCGTGGAATGTTTTTTATTCGACAACTTCTGGTTGTTCCGGTTCTGGGGCCCAAATACTGCAGTCTACCCCATTTCCCTTACATAGCCACTCATAAGGACGCGTGTCTATATGGCTGCTTGTGCTAGTCTGGATTATGGAGGATTTACAGTACTTGCAGACTGAATTACCATGCCACAGTTTAACATGGATACCACACTCAGACACACTATTCTGAATCTGAGCCGACCAGTCTTCGTTTTATCCCCTTAATGCCAAGTGTCAGGCAAACATATTTTAGTATGACACGGCCAAGGGGTAAACCACTGACCTTTTGCTTTCCGGACAGACACTCTATCCACTATGCTCATCTTGAGACTATGCCAAACAAAATGAATAGTTGCTTGATACACCGTATATACACAGTGTTAAAAAATTAAAGGACGTTTGGGGTCCTTGATATTTAATAATATGGTATTTGTATCTGGGGCTTACCAAAATCTTCAATTTTTAACATATGGGTTATGAAAGGAGCCTGACTTTCATACTTAATTACAAACAATGTAAATACTTAAATCTTTCATTTCAGCACCAGTGTCAGGAATAGGGCGGTAGACTCTGAACTGTTTCCGAATAGTTTGCACAAAATAGTAGGCGAGGTAATCATGCTAATAACAGTTTACTAGTAAAGATGTCAAAAGATGAGTTTGAACCAGGGTCAAACGTGTTTTGGTATGTTTATATTCATCATCCATACTTCTGATACGACATTTTACGATCCTGCATTCTGATTCCTCCGCCAGTGGTATCAAACCTCAATCCTGCCTGTTTTGCAATTTCAAATACTGATCTTACTTCTAAGACGGTGGCTAAATAACATGTTTCCACATTATTTACAAGTGTGGTAATATATTTGGGGCGGAAAACTTAAAGATTTAATTTTGGGGGCTACTCTATCACGTACTGTGATGTCGTATCTACTGCATTACAATGCTTAGACTTCATATCTGTAGAACTTCATGACGTCATAATAGGGGCATGTACTTTAGAACAAACATTACAAAGTTTCTTCAGTTTGACTACATGATTACAACGTATCTCGGTGAAGTGGTTCATGTACAACGGTGAAAGTTATGATCTGGGTACATAAGGTATATAGATATATGCAGATTAAAATCGATCCTCACTGATCCCTGAATTCGTCTTTCAACCAACTCAAAATATTAAGTAAAATCTACATATTTTTTACAAATGTAATACTTATTCTGCATTACTACTTAATGCATCCTTTTACATATCCTTGGATAACCCATATGTTCTCTATCATGTAGAGTTTAGTTTGGTGTACTAGGGTGGATGTTTAGGCTTAAGATAGCATGTTTTTGCCACATCAAGGCCACATCACTAATTTCTGCTATAGCCAAAGCGTTTTCATTTGTTTTGTCATTGTTTCAAGGTAGAATGGAGATAAACCCACTGCATTTTTGATGTAGTCATTGCGAACTTTGACTGGATAACTGTAAACTTTTCAAATTTGACGGGCAATTGCCTTCAGGTTCAAATTACATTTGCAGGTATCAAATCAATGTTCAAAACCTCTACATTGAAAACACACTAGGTTTATCTCTAAAGTGGTGACCAGACAAACAGATTTTCCACACCTATGGCAGAAATAATACCTTGACTCCATCGGAACAGTCCTGCATGTTGACCCAGTAGTTGACGTTGTTCCACACCGACTCGATGCCCAGGTAGTTGGGGCTGTCTGCTTCATGTGACAGGCCAGTGAAGGGCTCGATGAAGAAGCTCTCTGGGACCTCTCGTTTCCCTGACAGAATCAGCACCCAGGAGTGAATCCTCAGCCCGTGGAGGGGGTCGGTGGGAGGCAGCTCTAGGGCCTACAATACAGTCAGTGACTATATCTTTACCGAATATCAGAAAATAATGGGGAATGCAAGAGGACTTCCCACATTGTACTTATTGGGGGAGTTGACTATTAGTCTACGATGCAGCCTTAGATAAAATATTCTACAGAAAAAAAACACTTGTTAATTTATATAATAAAAAGGAGCCCAGAGAGTTTCTCCTGAAACTGCAGTAATCTAGACTTGCCAGCTATTATAGACTTATATGGGAATATTGGATATATTGTTTCAGGGTCTGAATGATAGACTTCATTACACCTTATGACAAGGAGTATTATGTTATACATGTACATACGAGTTCAACGTTTCAAAGCTGGTGATGAAGGGCGAAGAACTAGGCCTAAAATGTTGTGTAAGTATGATAAAGAAGTTGTTATCCATATTCCTTCTTGTCATACTTATATTCAGCTTCTAAAATTCCTATAAAGACATCGACTCAGAAATCGATATATTTGACACAATTAATACATCACACCATAATATGGTATGACATAACATAAGTGCATAACATAATAAACACAAGTACATTTTCCACCAAAGAAAATGACCTTAAGCATAATTCAGAGCCAACAGAAATATAAAGTTTGGCGTATCTCATTATAGCCACATCAATAACAAGAAAACACACTCCATTGAGAAATGCCAGTATGAGTAAAGGGAGACAACTCTTGTTATATCTGTTCATTTGTCCTGCTTAAAACTGAATCAGCTAGAAACAATATCATTATAGAATTGGTTCATCTTAGTTTCTTAATACAATTCTTTAAGATAACCTAATATGCTACTGCAGGTTCCCTGTGCTTTTGTAACGTCTAAAGATGATGGCCACGATTGTGAGCATGTCATGAGTTTAATGTGAGATAGAAGGTTATCTATGTGCAGCTCCAATACAATCATGAAAGCAAACATAGCTTCAGCAAAATTGCATTCACATCAAGGTACAGCCATCCTTCTAGGAACTGTCCCATCCTGAAACTTCTTGAACAGTCAAACCTGCCATGTTTGTTTACCAGAAGGGCAGATAACACTGGCCACTACAGCAGGAATACTGATACAGAATGTGGAACTGCTGTCTTCATTCAAACTTCACTAAAATTGAGTTTAAACACTGCTTTCAACAGTAGATCAGTTACCACAATGTGTCAGCTTATTGTTGGCGTTAAGGCAAAAGTGATGCAGGTCAGAGAAGTTTACCACTCTGGTGGTTTACCACAGTTATTGACCTGATGACTATGGATAATTGTAATATGATATGGGGCGATGGGGTAGCCTAGTGGATGAAGCTTTTACACATCATGCCAAAGGCCTGGGTTCAATTCCCCACATGAGTACAATGTGTGAAGCCCATTTCTGATGTCCTCTGTCATGATATTGCTGGGATATTGCTGAAAGTGGTATAAATCCATACTCACATCCCTCACTCTAACATAATGTTCATATGAAACCATTAAGAGTCTAATGTTATCCTAGAGGGCTGCCATATTGTCAACTTACATGAAATCACATTCAACAAGTCTTTCCCTTTAAACATGTTAAATGTGTACCTTACTTATTGTCATCAGTATATATGGAATCAATAATGGTATAGGAAAGTCTTTGTTATTTTTGTTTTACTGCCTAGGGGTGACAGTAGTAAAAGTCTAGTACAAGAACTAGGCCCTGGGAGGTGAAAATTTTGAAATCAAGTATATATGTCTACCGCCAGTCGTTCCTCCTCCTCCTTCTTCCTCTTCTCCTCCTCTGCCTTCTGTTCCTCCTGTCTCCTCCGCTCCTGCTTCAGCTCGAACTTACTCCGCAGATCCCGCGGGGGCTTCACAGTGTACTTCTTCATCTCCTTCCTCTTCTCTTCCTCTTTTCTCTACAATGACAGGGATTGACATTTATCACACTTTCACAACAGCGCCACAACGAAGTATCAGTTTAGCATGCCTATATCAGCTCTATTACAGTATACTGGATACCTTCTGCCATGTTGTTGAGGTAGTGAATGAACAAGTGACTTTAAATTTTACATCACATCGGCAATATTGCAGCCATATATCGCGATGAGAACAAGATAGTTACTGTTATTCAAGACCTGTTGACGAAGGACTGTAAGCAATGTGTCACATAAGGCTTCAGAACAGTTAGTCTTGTTTCTCACCACCGATCAATCACAAACACTGCCCAACACTACCAATCTCATAAAAATCAGATCTTACAGTTCTCGCTATCGCTAAACAAAGGGTAAACGAGACGTAAGTCTAAGATCTGATTTTATTGAGATTGCCAACGCTGTATTGGTGTATGTTTTCATGTGCACTCTGTTTGCAACAGAGAGTAAACAGCTATCAAACATTTACAGTCAGCGTCATATCCATCACTAACAATAGGGACTGTCGGGCAGCCATATCACAGTCTAGATATAAAACAAACCTGAGCAATATTAAACAAAGAATTTTTCAGTAGATTAGTTCATATAAATTAAAACCAGGCCATAGACTACTATAGCAACCAAAGCTAGACCACCTAACTGGGAATCATGGGGACTAACAGTGCTTTTGCGTCCTGCATGATTCCCAGCAGGATTTATGCCATCGCTTTTGTCACCAGTGGATGTATGTAATGTTGATGAGGCAATAGTATATGCAGGAATATCTTCTTCCAAGTTTTTCAGTTACCATTTCTACTTGATTTTTAATGCATGAAAATCTAATGATCAATCTGTGGCCCCCCAAATGGAGTGTATACCTCCTCTTTCTTCTTAAGCATGGGGCATATCTCTCGTGACTCGTCAGCCAGGCATGTCTCCCGTGTGGCATATCCGCTGACCACATATGCATCATATCCAGCAGCAATCAGCAGAGAACACAGCAGGGTGCTATACTCAAAACAGTTGCCCTTCTGGCGCTTCAGGACTGTGGACGGGGAAAGTAAGACCTTGGGCTAAAACAAACAACATAGCCATATAAGCATCCCGACAACATCACATTTTAAAGAACCACAAATAAATAACACATACCCAGTAAACATGGGAAAGTCTAAGAGAATTTAATTTTATAAAATCTTTCTTTTTCTTAAAACTTAAATATTAAAAATGATGTGTCTTACTTGAATATTTGTATTAAAAAAAACGACAAGCATATTTCATATGCATAGGTTTTCTCTCAAGATGTGTGTATCAGGCCATACCAATTTAACTTCAAAAGTTGAAACCTTAATTTTGCAAAAGTAAACAATTAATAATAAATAAAAATACTGTTTGATTTACATTCTTATATTGTATAGCAAAACTTAAAAGGACAGGCCTCATTTATAAAATTATGAGAAATAATCTAAAAACTAAAATTACATTTTATCACAACACATCAAGAATATAATCATGATGTTCACGATAGTGATTTAGAAAAATATACTCGACCAATAGTTACACAAAGATGTTAATGTATATCCTGCTATGAGGTCGCTACAATGTATACCCGGACTGTCTTACCAGCTCATAGGGTGGATCAAGGGTCTGGAAGTTGAGGTAGTCGGCCACAAACTCTGCTGCACCATCCCAGTTATACAGCTCCTTGTAGGGTAGTTGAGTTGGACGGATAGTTGTGCAGACCAATTTCTGTAAGCAATGTGTCACGTAAGGCTTAAGAACAGTTGGTCTTGTTTCTCACCACCAATCAATCTCAAATACTGCACAACACTATCCCAGTCCCTTGCCTAGGGAAGATGTCGGGCAGTCAGAGATCAAAGTGTTTGGTGTTTCAAGCATGCCACATGGGCACATATGAAGATGGATAGTTGTTCCCACTAAGTGGGCCATCAAGAAGACGAATTAAAAAATGTTATTTGAAGGGCTAGTGTCCTCGCAAAATTGTTTCGCAATTTATATGTCCAAAGTTGCCTAAACTTGTAAGACATCTTAGCTACATCACAGTTAGAGACTGTTTTTCAGTATATTAGACTCTTCTTTTGATAATGATAGCAATTATCCGAGTAGTTTCTCAAGATTCCTGATGGATAATTCTGACTGGAATACAAAAGACAAGGGCGATGTCATGTTGTTTGTAAATACTGAAAGCAGTCCCTACTTGACCTTTGATATTTGCATCAGTATCCATATATGACTCCAATGGATATCATTCAACTTCTTATCCACTGGCCTTATCCTCCTGAGAAACCTACCCATTATATGATACATTGATATCTTTTTTAGACCGAAATAATGACAAAGGAACATAAATGTGATCAACATACGTCAATATAAAACTCATTCAGTGGGTTGAGGAAGAGTGGCTTCCTGTCTCTGTAGAGGTGGACGTACTGTCTGCGGAAGTTGTCAGCGTACTGGAGAACAAGCTTTTCCTTTGGGAGGTTGTCTTTGTATGATGATGGAAATTCTGCTGGGTCAAATACTTCCTTTGGTGGACTGTTGACATAAAAGGGCATGGAAGATACATTTCCATCTTTGCATTCATCAAAATTGTCAGCTTGTATATAAGGCATTGTTTGGACAAATAACCAAATTCAGCATGTTCAGAACGAATAATGATGGACTTCAATATTTTTGGTGTTTTTGAGGCATAAATGTAAGAACCGATGTGCACACTGTGTAAATCCACTTCAATTCTTATAAAAAAATATCAACACATTAATAATTTCAGACTGCTGATTTAATCACATTACATAACAAAAACTGTATACAACATACAGTACGAAATCAGTGATATCATTCTTATTATGATAATAGTGCAACTCAGGCCCGACCCATTCTTTTATCAGCCAATCAGGAAACAACCGGGCTTGAGCTTTTTTTCTCAGTTTATGGAAAAGCGAAGAAATTTACTTGGTTAGCCAATCCAACCATGGAATATCACACACACACACACACACACACAGGGCTTTATCACATTTATATACAAGTTTTCAAGCATGTAAGTTGACCATATGTGGTATTACTGACAGACTTATTACTCCTAAAAAATGTGATAAGCTGGTTTATTCAAATTCACAGATTTAAATCTTACTTTACAATGCTGACTACATATGATTGTTGATACAATAAATAATAATTTGCTCATGTGTTGACATAATTACCGCATCTAAGAACAAAGTGAGCAACTAATGGGTTTTGAAGAGTTATCAACATTATTAAATGACAATTGTAAACATTGACAAGATATTGTCAACATTATGTTCGTTGGCTGAAATCATATTCACCAAATCCTTCCTTCATTGAAAACCTGTTTATAAACATTTTCCCTCTATGTTTGAATAATAGGTATTCACCATTACTTACGGTTCAATGACAGGTGCATGTACAACAATTTTGGCTAGCTCCTCGGCAAGTGCTTCAGCATCTTCTGAAAGGGAATTTTCGTCTTCGGCCTTTTCTTCGTCGTCTGCTTTTTCTCCCGTATTTCCTTCTGACTCTTCTTTTATTGGGTCTGCTGCGTGTTTATTTGCATCCTCGATCAAAACTTCAGTTTCGCTGGCACCACCCTCCATTTTGACAAGTCGATTCAGTTATCTCTTTCCAAAGATGAAGAAACGAGTTGGTGTTATCGTTTACAGAGGTGACCTAACAACACATGTTTAAAATTAATCCGCTCCATAGCAACGCACAATATAGTCCTACAGTCTTGTCGTTAAACGATTTATGAAACTATATAAAGAAGGTTTGTACTATATGAATTATTTCCATCGTAAAAGTAACAATACTTTTAGCAATTTCTGGTTACAAAGAGTATTATTAACATTTATAATATCAATACGCCAAAAATTAACAATTTCCGGTAAAAGTAGAGTTACTTCCCCTGACTAGGATAAAAATCCAAGCTCCATCCCAGCGCGTGAAACCTTCGTTACACTCTCGGTAGTATAGAGAGCTCCGCGAACGGACTATCGCTGTCTGGAGCTTGGGATTATATGTGCGCTTGTTTATAGCTCAAAATGTTGAACTGTCCACTCGCTCATTTCATTGTCAGTTGTTGTATTTACATGCGTACCCAAATGACTAGTGCGTTATATTAGTTTAGGCATGTCAAAGAAGTAGGGAGTCAACTGAAATGTTCGATGTGTATAACCGTGTCACATCCCCTCCTTCGTTATTACCTACCTTTCATTGACTTCTATAAATATATCCTTGCAATCCACTCGCCGAGAACCGACTGGTGGAGTCAAACATGGTAATCACACCAGCGACGAACAGCAGCATTGTTGCAAGTCCTTATTTACAGTCATGGGATTCCGTGAGTTAGAATATTTTTTTAAACTCTGAATGTACCGCTCTGACACCGGGTTGAATGGAGTAAAAGGAGTTTCGAAACATGTCTATGTAAATATTTTATGTCCGTTTCAATAATGGAATCCATTAAGGGGCATTGTCGAGACACGTTACAAAAACAAGCATGCAGAAAGTATCACAATTATCCAAAGCCCGACAATGGACAGTTTGACCAGTGGTCGCATTGTTGCGCTTTGAATAATATTTTTAATTGTTACCAAAGGGCGACAACGAAACGTTTTTCAAGGTCAAAATATGTCCCGTCGTGGCACTGTCGCCACATCTTAAATCTGTGACAAAAGACGTTAAAATGCGCGACAGCGTGACATATTGTCGCATTGTCGCCCTTTTCGATTAATGGTGCGCATGTATGTTAAGTGAAATATATATGTATGCGCTCAAGTGGTTATACTTCTTTTCAAACTTCTTTTTAACTCCGACGCAAGGATACTAAAACCAAAGTACCAATATGAATATGGCATGCTTTCCTCAAAATGAAAACAAATGTAAAATTGTTGTCTGTGTTGTGTTCACAAACAACGTGTTTTGACAGCAAGAAACAAACTATTTGTGTTTCTATTTAGTTTTATTTCTGTCTCCAACAACTCGTCAAATCGATGAAGGGCCACGGATGGTACAGTCGCCATAGGCGTCGCAATTCGTTGTGCAGAGTTGCGTCTCCTATGCGTACCAGAAAAATTATGATGTTTGCTTCGAGTCCCAGCGCCTACACATGCATCACTTCGGGCTTTCCTCCTCGATGAAGCTGACACATAGTGAAATAACTGTTCAAAACGGAGTTTATCTAACTCACTCACTCAAATCGATGAATTCACTATGCAGAGTGGCATCACGTAAGACTTCTATGGTCGTGTGGTTTGTCAGCTTGTTGGTTTCTTCAAACTCGTTATGTCTAAGACCTGCATCAGTTTGAGCTTTCCTCCAACATCCAGCTGACACGCCGTGATGTAACTGACATACTGATGAAAGCGGCGTTAAACAGTACTCACTCATGCTATCCCTTTTGACGAAACAGACCCTTGAAGATCCGGGGTAGAATAGGTCTTCAGCCATCCATGCTTGCCGTAAAAGGCGCATACGCTTGTCGCAAGAGGCGACTAAGGGGACCGGGGGGTCAGGGGCGCTTACTTGGTTGATGCATTTCGCGTGGATCGATGTTCATGATGTCAATCACTAGATTGTTTGGTTCAGATTCGATTATTTACAGACCGCAGTCATATAGATTGATTATTGCTTAGTGCGGCGTTAAACAACAAACAAACATACTTTTGACGAAACGAAGCTAAAGGGTATTGGTAAATAAGAAACATATTTCTCAATAATGTTTTTAGATGTGTTTATACTTAATACGTCAAACGCCAACCACATGCATTCAACTCTCGAGATATGTACAGCCGTAGAAGTCCATTGTTGTCCTACGTGATACAAACCAAAGACGTATATAGAATCTATAGACGTCTTTGTACAACCAATCATCACTAATACTCGCTCACACACTCACTCACTCATTCACTCATGTATAAACCTAGGAGTGGCTTTACCACAGAATAGTAAAATACGAGTGAATATGTCAACCGAATATGATATGTTAATAGCGTTATGCGATGAAACTCATCAGTAGCATCTTTCTTTGTTTTATGTTTCTCTAGTACTTCCCCTCCCTGAAGGCGATAATCTTGGACGCGACGTTAACCCCCTGGATGCCAGAGGGACATATATGTCCCTCCTCTACAACCCTCACTTTGAAGTCGAATAAAATTCAAAATACATCCCCCACACAACAACACTTTACAGTTTTGAATAAGGTGGGAAATTCCCTGTTCTGTGATATCATCCACTGGCATTTTAGGCCAAGCAAAAGTACTGAACATGACCTCTGAAAATTAGGTACATCGTAAATGTCGCCATTTTTTACACATTACTAAATCACCACTCACGGCGTTATTTACAGCATGTTTTGAAATCTAAATTTCGGATATTTACTCGGAGAAATGAATTTCAAAAATAGCATATTAGTGATCACTGGTATCTGTCTTTTATGAAATCACCAATGATCATTCCAAAACGTCTCCGATAACCCTAGAATCGTTTAGAATGTTTTGGGAAAAACGAAAACACGAACGCCGAAGTGAACTTTCCGCCATATTGGATAGTGTTTACAAAATCACGTTTCAGGTACACCGGTTATGAGACGCCTGTAACATCACGTATATTTCAAACTTATCTGCAATACCTACATCCTTGAATTCCTCATACATTTTAGAATCAAATGACCAGTGGTCTTTGTCACCAATACAAAGTGGCTAGATGAAATCAAGCAAAATAACTTAGGTGTGAAAACGAACGCTGTGCTCGAAAAACTGCACATGGTTGAAATGTAAACAAAGCAAAATTCAGATTTTACACAGTGTAGCATATTCTCCTATTTTGAGCTATCCATTCGTCTTTTCGTTCAATATATTGGCTCAACATTTTCAGAACATGCATGGGAAGAGAAACGTAGGAAGAAGTACGGAATTTCAAATAGATACATTGCAATGATTAGATATTTTCAACAGAAGTTGTCAAAGTTACCGTTCTGGTTGACGCCATGACTGACGCCAAATCACGCACAACGACAACGGTATTTATCGGAATTTCTGACTATCTCCGTTTGTTTCTATGAAAATTATGACAACAAATAACAGTACATAGATTGTCAGAATGTTTCTGATTACTTACATGTCACATTTATGTTTATACGATCCCTGAATCAACGAAAGTCCCCTCGTACAATCCCGCGTACTGTTGAAAGTGTACACGCCATTTTGTAAAAGTGGGTCACAGGTAGTGATGTCATACGTCAACATTGTTGTACATATTTGGTCATTTCTTTGAGGTGAAGGTCCTTGAATGAGAGTGCACACGATCACTGTATCATGCTGTTTACAGTTTCAGTTATGGTGTATATTTTGCATGTCTTTTATACATTTTTTCACACAATTAATTTCACTTTGGATATTTGTCAATGTTCAAAATGAAATCATACGTACATATAGCCCACAACATGTATGAAGGAACCTTTGATAATCTCCTGTTTGTTTGAACATTGTTTACATAACAATGTGATAGGTTTATAGTGTCGACTACGATATTTCTTTCCTTTGGACAAGTGTTACAAGATGAAGTGTAAATGTAACTGCAGCATGTACATATTTCTTGGGATGTGTAATAAGTCAATATTATAAGTTCATATAACCAATGTCCATGAACAGCCGTTTCATTTTATTTTATAACTAAACCTGAATATATTACTTTAACAAAATGGATAATATGTTTCGGTAAAATATATGCACACATTTCTGAAATGTCTTGGTCTTGGATTTGTCTTTTATGTCGTTGGATACAAAGAACAGTGATATCTAACGATTCACCAGGTGCGCGTTAGTCACAAACAATTTACGAATTATTCCTCTCGTTTTGCATTATATAATCAATGGTTACATTATTGTTTCAATATTGTGATCACAGGATAGTAAACAGTTTACTTTATTCTCCAGGAATTGTAAAATGTATAAAAATAAAACCCATGCCAGGTACCCCGTTGGTTCAAACGTATACGATTACCCTGATAATTCTATACCAATAGAGCTTTCTTTGCATCTTTTATTGTGTAAGAAAAAATAGCATAATCATGAACAAATATATGTCCAATATTGAATATAATTCTGGTTGTTTTGAAATATTCTTTTGGGAATTTCATTACGTAAATTGATGCCAAACAGGTGCGTGTCTTGTCCAGTTAAGATACACGATAAACGTTCTAATTGTATACATATTCAAGACATTATTTACTTGGTGAGAGCAGTCGTTTTATGTTGTGTCGAAAAAGCGTCAAATTCCGTTTCACACATCGAGATTTTCCATACCATGAACGAAAATTAGGGGAGATATATATTAATCAAAATACCAGTGTCGTCTTTTTCCGACGTTATCGAAGACATAAAACCAGCCATGACGTCAAAAGGTATCGTGTTATTTTTAGGGTATTTCATAACATTTGGTGATAAGGCTTGTGCTCCATTAATAATAATGCAACATTAGTCAAATTACACTTACACAATCAGGAGAATGTTGGAATCTAAGGACAAAGTTATAGGTTAGATAAGGCCATCCATTTCTCTATTACCTCCTTTTTATGAAGTACGATTTCATCATTTCTGATGGGTATATTTTATAACTAAACGTGTACAGTTTCAATATTGATATTTGTGTTGGAATAGTTTGGTTCCTCCTGAACAAAACACCACGAAAATATATTGTCCTTACCCACAGTTAATTCTCACCAAGTGACCTGAGTTACAACAAACTAGAGCTAAGCATAGCGGAGTTATGCCCCCTTTTCTTTGTACGTGTGTAACCTCTCTGTCACCTTTTGACGTCATAGAGATAAATCAGTTTTCGTCATTTACGGCATGCTATTTTTGGAATTGAATGTATGTCGTTATACATACGCATATAACTCCATTTGATATATTATTATGTCGTTCAGCTATTAGGCATTATTTTGTTCGCTCACAGTTTCCGTAAATCTTCTTAATAAAAAAAAATGTCGCACAGTACTTTTATCGGTGTACGATAAAAAGCGGAGAAATTTACTGTTTTTCAACGCAGAATAAATTCTCGGACAACACTTAGGAGTGTCTTTTTTAAAAACCGGTTTGATATTTACAGTTAAATTTACACTATTAAATAAGAAATTTCATATTCTCCACCTCTGGGTAATTTTATAGCCAGAGGTAGATCCAGTGCCGCGTGAGCGCAATTCTCGCACAAACTTCACTTTTCCGATCTTAGGAAAATGTGCGTCAGAAAAAAAACTCGGCATCCAGAGGGTTAAACCCCATTTCACCTCACCTCACCTCACCTCACCTCACCTCTAGTAGTTCACTGTATGTAATGTAAGATTCATACCGTTTCATGCGGGGGTTAAATGTTCTGCATGGTTTATTACTTGGACAGTATTTTCTAACTTCCGGCAGAGATCACACACCCGTAAGTGTTCTTTGCTTCTTGATAGATAGGAAATCAACAGGTTGGTCTGAAATTGCAATTATTTGCCTAAAATATAATACGGTTGCATTATATATTCACGATGTTTGGGCTGAACGTAGTAACATTCTTCTAAACATACTTCAAATCTAAACTGGCTGTAATCACATCACTATCCCAGTTAACCAAACGGAACCGTACACAAGAGTAATGAGTGAGTGAGTGAGTTTGGTTTAACGCTGTTTTAAATAGTAGTCCACTTTTATCACGGCGTGTCAGCTTGATTTTGGAGGAAAGCCCGAAGTGATGCAGGTCTTAAACGTTTCCCACTTAAGTGAAACCCACGAGCACGGGGCCAACCGGAATTAGAACACACTGCCATAGGTTTCTTGCATGCCCAAGGGACACAACTCTGCACAGCGAATGCAGCGCCATAGGCGATTCAGCCAACCGTGCCCCCCCCCCCCCCCCCCCCCGTACACAACTGTAACAAACTATCATACAACAAAGATGTTTAAGATGAGATTTGTATTGCGTAACATTCCATGTAGAAACAGTGGCAATATTACACTATCACAAACTACAAAAAATATGCATAATAAGTGCAAAACACACAGGTACATTCAAGATACAAAGGATGTATATTATAACAATTTTATATTACAACAAGTGTATTATAATGATATGAGAATTGAGCAAAATTATGGTAATGTTCTACATACAAGGAATTTGTTTATAATTATATATATGATAACAGATCTTGGAAATTGTTTCTGGCTAACTGTTGGTAAAACTTATTAAGAATTGTAAGAGCGTACAAAATTCGTTATCGTGATTGAAGATTATTTGTGATTCTCTTTCTTGGTTGTATTTTATACAATACATTATGTTGCTCATCTTCTAAGACATCACATGTTTCACAGAGACTTTGTTCCAATGGGATTGTTTTTTTGTGTATATCTACCAGTTTCTATTTTTAGTTTGTGATAGCTTAAACTAAACGAATATGACCTATAAGCTTTGTTTTTACAATATGTAAGATAATTCTCAATATTTATAGGTGACTTGACCAACCGGTATGTTCTTAACTTGCTGTTGGATCAATGGGATTCCTTTCATGAATGCGTGAACATATTTCCACATTTAGTTGGACTGAAGTGTATTTACAGTGGATTCAGTACATTTATTTGTGTTTACTATTTCAAAAGTTTGTTTTATTTAACCCAGCCAACATTGTGACCAGAAAGATTGATATTTACTGACTGACTGACTGAGTATGGTTTTACGCCGCTTTTAGCAATATTCCAGCAATATCACGGCGGGGGACACCAGAAATGGCCTTCACACATTGTACCCATGTCGGGAATCGAATCCGGGTCTTCGGCGTGACGAGCGAACGCTTTAACCACTAGGCTACCCGACCGCCCCTTTGGTATTTACTGCAAAACCATGTTTAAGAATGACGTTTGTTGTGTTATCTATATAGGACTTGTAATCAATTTTTTTTTTTATATCATTGGTACTTATAGTGGGTATATACCAAGTTCCTCCTGACAGGCCCAATTATGTGTTTTCCTGCCTAGGTTTTCTTTGTGCTGACCATTTAAAGACACTGTTTCTTTTATTATGCTTTCCAATGATAACTACATTAGTAACAACCAATTTGTACTTTACACCAATCCTCTCCTCCCATTGCTTACACTTCCTTCCTCTGCATATGCCATTATATGGCGGGGAACAATTGATGCACTGCAGCATCTCTACCTGTTCCTATTAGCGGCACATGAATATGGCTGAATCTCATCATCGCCCACAGCTGATTCTTCCTAAACATAAACTTTGAAAAAATCAAATCATATTTACATATTACTGTCGGAGTCTGAAATGGGATTGTGACAATTTCTTCCCTTATTCTTTGCCCTCAAGACAATCAGCCACTTTCAAGATGTTCTCAACATTCTTTGAGGGTTCGTTTTTGTGTATTTTACGACTGAAGTAAATAATCGATCCGAGATCTACTGCCACTCCGACAGCGGCAAGAACCACACCCGCGACCTTGACGCCGGACGCTGCAGCCTTACCGGCAGTGGCAGCCTTCCCAGCAGCGGAAGTGACGTCAGTGCCTGCATCAGCTGCCGTTCCTACAGACTTTGCGGCACTAGCAACTCTGGAAGACATCTCGGCACCAGCTGTTATTCCCCGTGCAACATCAACAGCACGTTTCGATGCCTTGATAATTCTAACGGCCTTGATTACAGATTTGGTGACGACTTCGATTGATTTGAGAACTGCTTTTCCCTTGAGCCCAAGAGACAGCGGAAGTGACGCTTCTACAGCGCTTCTGATCCTTCTTATGATGTCCCTCTTCGTGTCCATGTTGATAAAGTTACTCTTTTCAATATGACCTTGCAGAATAATCCTCTCTGGTTCTTGCAATGTTTTTATTAATTTATTCAATTTTTTGTTTATATCTTCTGACATTTCCGCATAATCATGAAGCTTTTGCGATAAATGTTTCTCTGCGTTCTTTGTGATGCGATAATTAACAATCATGGACGATATACCCGACACGGCAGTCCCTCCCCCAACCACGCCCCCTGCTATGGTCAGGCCCAATGAGACCCCTGCAGTGACGGGTGCCAGAGCCAAGCCTGCGATTGCAAGAACTCCGCCAACGAGACCCACATTTGAGGAAGTGAGTTTTGCGATGTCAACTTTTCTCTGTTTAGACTTGAGGTTTTCAGCAAAGTCACGTAGTTCCGTAGCCAGTTCCTTCTGTAGTTTGGAGCAGGAATTAACTTCGGAACAAAAGGAAGCAATATCCACCTCAGCCATTTTGAAAACTAAAGTAAAAAGAGTACATGTTTTACGTATGTAGATCATGGTTACAAGTAGACAATCGTCGCGTTTTCGCGTTTTTGAGTACTCCTATAGCCATTTATTATAACACAAAAGTGTCGTAACTAAACAGGTCATGTTACACAATATGTATGATTTTAGCATATGCTTACTGTCATTTCATTGATATTTTTTATGTCAGTTGAGGCAACGTTCAATGACCACTATAAACGGTGTTAGTTTTTCCAAATATGACATGGATTCATTAGCTCACCAGGATTCTTCGTTTTGGTAACTTTCGACTTCTTTGCCGAACCCGCTGAAGGGAGGATTCTGAAACTTTAGGAGGATTTCTTCAATAATTTGTTTCTTCAATAGAAGCCAGAAATCTGAAGCATTGGACCATGTATAGCAACACAATGGGATTTAGATTTGTTTATGCCATGGCCAGTAAAAATCAAACTTTTTTTTAAACAATTGGGTAAAATCTCAGAAACCACAAGGCACAGAGAGCTGAACCGTTATAAAGATGTGTTAGTTTGTTTGTTTGCTGTTTAACCCTGAACTCAGTTATATATTTTCAATTTATCATGGCGGTCTGTAAATAATGGAGTCTGGACCAAACAATCTGAAGACCTATTCTAACATGTATCTTCACGGATCCCGAGGTAATATCGATACCTTTTTACCTATACATGTCGTAAAGTCGACTAAAGTGGATCGGGGGGCCGCTGACTCTGATAGCTAACCCTACTTATGCTTTCGATTATTTACAGTTGAATACAGCTGCAATGTTGCTGATTGAGGAGTAAAACAACATTCGCTCAGTCTCCCTATGGACTAACAAGTGCCCTGTCCACATGAGAACACGCTGGATACAAGGCAACAACCAATCTGATGCATGTGGTGCCCTGTCCACACGAGAACACGCTGGATACAAGGCAACAACCAATCTGATGCATGTGGTGCCCTGTCCACATGAGAACATGCTGGATACAAGACATCAACCAATCTGATGCATGTGGTGCCCTGTCCACACGAGAACACGCTGGATACAAGACATCAACCAATCTGATGCATGTGGTGCCCTGTCCACATGAGAACATGCTGGATACAAGACATCAATCAATGTGATGCATGTGGTGCCCTGTCCACACGAGAACACGCTGGATACAAGACATCAACCAATCTGATGCATGTGGTGCCCTGTCCACACGAGAACACGCTGGATACATGATATCAACCAATCTGATGCATGTGGTGCCCTGTCCACATGAGAAAATGCAGGATACATGACATCAATCAATGTGGTGCATGTGGTGCCCTGTCAACATGAAAACATGCTGGATACAAGACATCAACCAATGTGGTGCATGTGGTGCCCTGTCCACATGATAACATGCAGGATACGAGACATCAACCAATCTGATGCATGTGGTGCCATGTTCACAAGAGAACATGCTGGATACATGACATTAACCAATATGATGCATGCAGTGCAATTCCAACACGTCCTTTCATGGAATGAATAGATACTCGCGATACTCGTTATCGTGGGCATCGATCTTCGCAAATGGTATGCTATGACGTGCATCAACCAAGTCAGCGAGCCTGACCACCCGATCCTGTTAGTCGCCTCTTAAGACCAGCATGGGTTTCTGAAGACAGGTCACGGGAAGACCTTTATCATACATAAAGCACATGTATGGATCTTACTAACAGTAAGGGGTTATGTAGATCAAAGAAAAATAAGTAACTAGTTGCTTTAGTTTTATTTTCTTCACATAAACAAACGATGCAACCCAACTGTCGGACAAAGGAAACCATTCACCTGAAAACTGGATTTGACCAAGGCATTACAAACGTTATGAAAACGTTTGTAGCCTGAAAACTGTCGCCGAAACACAAATATGATGCTTGCATCAAATACATCACCGTCGTGTAACCATTTCTTGTTTGTTTCATTTCCGACACCATCAAACATGGTTGTATAGTTTCTTTCGGTCAGCAGTTAAGAATAAATAAATAATGAAGTGTTATTGTTTTATATGTGATATTTACCATCACACATAACAGCTGTATTTTTTATCATCTTTAATCAATTTATTTATATTTATTTAAATCTCTAAATCTCTCTTAACTATATGTCTGTGTCCGCTTTGTCAGTGTGACCCTAGTTCATGTTGTTCAGTTACAATACAACGGGGCGCGGTTTACACAGTGATACACAAGGAAGTAAATTGTTCTTGTTTGAACTGTCCTTCCCATATCTAACTATAAACGTTGTATTACACGCGTTAGAAATAAGACATGAAAATCAAGGAAGAGCGTTTTCATTATATATCTTGAGTTGATACTTTGAGGGCACTTACATGGTAGATAATAAGATGCTAAGAAATAAATGACATATATCGCAGATCTCGTTAATAGTCCATTAGGCTTCACTATATGATATTCGAATCATGAAATCAACAGATTAACCACTGTTACCTTTTCGATTGATGTTTGAAAATGATATTTTACATTAAAAGTTCTTGTGGTTTATCTGTAAAGTGAATTTGTAAGGCAACTTATCTACCTGTGATGTACCTGTGGTGTGCCTGATGTGCCCCTATTTTTAGCGGCGTGTTGTCGGTGTGTCGGGTTAAGCCGGTTATGTGACTTCGGCTGCACAGCGTCGCGGCTGAGTGTTAGGGTGTCCTCCCATTAGTTAGACGTCCCAATAGTTAGACAGCTTATAACAAAACTTTAAACGGTTGAGTGCACACTAATCCTTATGCTTGTTACCTCAGACTTTAAAATGGAATAGTCCAGATAAGATCTGACAAACAAAGCAAAGTAGCTTTAAATAGATACATTAATATCATACTTAACATGTAATGACACTTTACATTTGATAAATTTTATACAGTTTGTAACAACACTTTGTGACAGTTTTTGGTAATGTACACTTTACATTTAATAACTGTAACAGTTTATTTATCAGCGACAGTCGTACAGTTCCCAGTGCACGTCTTGACGACACATCTCCAATGTGTGCAGGTTTGCCTCTCGCGGTTTCTGTTGTAAATATATCCATCTAATATCAACTGCTCACTACCACGCCGAGAGGTGAGGTGCTCTACTTTCCTTAAGCCAGCTATATAGATACTGATGATGATACGTACCCCAATATCATATTTATTTGTTTGATAAGTAGATAATCTAAACTCAACTCCTTCAACTGATCATACAGTAAGACAATTAAGCTACTCCATAGTTTACATCGTTAATCTCATGCCTATTGAACCGGTGCTGAGAGTAAGGTAATTTAGGTTAATTAAACAAAATTGTAACATATATACTCCCTAAACTGTGAGTCCCCTATCCCTACTCAGTACTTTAATCTAATTAGGACTGAACCATTACACCTGCAGGTATATTCCCTCTTTGCCTAAATAAAAATGTCTAACATTTGGGACGTCTAACTAATGGGACGTCTAACTAATGGGATATAACCAGTGTTCAAATGTTAAACATGTTAGTGATTCGCTTATGATGGTACAAAATAAACACTGAATAGCATTGTGGGTAATAGTTGTCTTTGTGAGCGGGCTTTTCACCGGTTTTCGAACGAATTCGAAGTTCTGATACAAAAAATGAATTTCAATATCTAACGTCCCTGTCTATATAATTATTTTTTAATTTGAAGTTTACACGATATACGGCTTTTCCATTGGACGAGAGGTCGGTCACATGACCGCGAAATTGACGTTCATTTAAAAATTGACCTTCGCTTTGTGTGAGTTCATTGGAGTATGAACCTTCATAGAGAGAGGGCCAAACTCCGACGTTCATACAATGTTTGGCCCTCACTTTATGAAGGTTCATACTCCAATGAACTCACACAAAGTGAAAGTCAATTCTTATATAAACACTTACGTGAGAGATGGTCTTTCACAATACAATGAAGAATAGAATTTCATCAATATATGACAACGGATTTCTGCTCATATCAACTAAGACGAGAGCAGGCAATATTATCGTTCTGGGGACGAACATCAAACCCTTTGGTTAAAAAGATATGGCAAGACAAAAACGCTCGAGATGAGGCCCTAGCTCGAAAAAATCCCTCACTAAAGCCATCTGGGATATTAGTACGTGAACTCATTCGAAGTCACAATTGCGATGACATTCAGCCTCCAGAAAGTCACTACAAAGGGTTACACCCTCCCTGGACTTTACAAACTCCCAAAGTTGACACTGCTTTAACATCAGAAGTCACTAAAAGAGAAAACCCAACCCTACTACGTTCAGTAGCTATCACTAAAATTCAAACTACCTGGGACAGCTGGGCCCATATATACACTGATGGATCCAAGAATCCTATCAACAACAGTGCTGGTTACGGGATCCATATCCACAGCTCCAAACCCCAAGCACATTCAGTTCGCTTGCCCGATGGTCAGTCAGTATTCACGGCTGAATTGGAGGCAATTCATCATGCACTCAAACTCATACCGGAACTCCCGGAAGCAAAGGCAGTCGTCCTATCAGACTCGCTAAGTGCACTTCAGGCCATCAGTGGAAGAAACTCAAACTCCAGGCCAAACACAGTCAACAATATTCTATACGAATATACAAAACTATCGGACCAAGGGCAACAGGTGGAGCTGTGTTGGATCCCCTCTCACATAGATATTCATGGAAATGAAAAAGCAGACTCACTGGCGAAGCTAGCTCTAGACAAAGCGGATATACAGCCTATTCCCTTTAGTAAACTAGAGATAAAAAGCAAAATCAAAGCCTCCATAGCAAAAAGATGGCAAACCCAATGGGACGCAAGTAAGATCGGCAGATGGCTATACAAAATTCAACCCAAGGTCCAACAAAAGCCAAACTCATACTCAAATGAAAGGAAAATTGAAACTGCTATCTCACGCCTCAGACTTGGTCACAAAAAGCACTATGACAAGGTTTGTTCATCTTGCAATCAGGCTGAAACCATTGACCACCTGTTACTAGAATGTCAAGACCATGCCCCGGCCCGGGCTAGGTTAAAACAAGAATTGCAGTTAGATCCGCTATCTGTCATAGATCTCCTAAAGCCAAGAGATGCAATAGCGAAGGCCAAACTAACTCTATTTCTGAGAGATGGACAGCTGCTCGAACGTATATAAACAGAGCAGCCAAGGATAAAAATGAAATCATATCAATATAAGAAAATAGAAATCATATCAATGCAAAAACAGAAATTATGTGAACACCGAACTCACAATAGATATGTGAACCCTTCTCACACACAGGAGTCCCAAAGAGGGACAGGTCAGCCGAAATTGCCTAGGCAGAAGGCGACCTCTTAAACACCTAATGCAACAACAACATCATATCAACATTTTGTTTGCTGTCTGTTATTTACGCACACACACACACACGCACAGTATACATCCCTGTGATCGTGTACGGCTGGCGAACGTTCCACAAGGGAAATTAACTCTTTCGTCATAAAATTTGCTCGCATGACTGGTTAGAACTCGAGACATAAAGGAAAATGCTACACAAAAAACGATGTTTTCAAACTTTCTTGTCGCAGAGGAATATCCAGTTGTACTGTAGTCATACTGTTATATTGATAAATTCAAATCACATGCGTCTATCGTTGATAGTGATTGCCTTATTAGAGGTAAATAGTCTCTACTCTGCAGAGATACACGTCATACCATTGCTGGCTGAGACGACATCAGTGTTTACGAGGAGTTTGATACTCCACCGCTGGCCTTTTTCGGATATTTTACGAATGCTTTAAACAATAAAATATGCTCTTGTTCACATTGCTCTTTCTCATTTCTCGTTTAGACACAGGTGAGGTGAGGTGAGGTGAGGTGAAATTGGGTTTAACGTCGCGTCTAAGATTATTGCACTTATATAGCGACGTGAATGCACTTGTTTGTGTGTGTGTGGCTGCTTGTACTAGTCCGGACTGATGCCGATTTATAGTGCTAGCACACTGATATACCATGCCGCAGTTTAACATGAATACCCTACTCGGACACAGTATACTGACTCCGAGGCGACAAGTCCTTGTTTCAGTCCATTAATGCCGAGCGGACCCCGGACCTTCCGCTCTCCGGGCGGACGCTCTACCACTGGACCACGGAGGCGGTCCTGTTTAGACACAATGATACACTGTAACCAAACATACTCCCAGGTGAAAATCGTTAATGCTTGCTGTAAATATGTTCTGACCGTTTGAACCGACCTCGAAATGCTAACGTCAAGAGAATTCTAGTTTGTGAAAATGATATTTCTATATGCAACGGAGATATTCCCTCAGACCAGCAACTCGTCACACGAGCCGCACGAACTTGGTCACAATTGCGGGTTGTACGTGTCATCTGAAGCAGCCCAGGTGTTCTGTAGCGAGGCCGAATGAAGTCTTTAATAAAAAAATTAAAAAATTGAGGAAACTACGGAGAAGGCATACATCACAGGAATTCGTAGCTGTACACAAATACACATATTGTATTTTTAATAAAAAAATTGTTTACATGTTTTTAATTTGAATGTACACATTTTTGTTGATCCATGTATCTACAGTGTATCTATCTATCCTGTGCACCATCTTCCACTGAATTAACACTGTTCAGATTCTTGAACAACCATGCATGTTTGTAAATCTCACGCTACAGATTGTGCCACAGATTAGCTATACCATCAACACACACACACATGGATCACGAATAATAAAATTTCACTAACCGGATTCCCCTTTCACCATTACTGACCTGGTGAAGTTATTCGGTGTAAACGTAAATGGATAATACAACTGTTTTGTATGTTCTTTTACGACGTAATTAATGTTCCAGCAACAATGTTCCGCGGCGGCATGCACATGAGTCTAGCCAAACCAGTGGAAGACAGAGTGAACACCGCGCCGATCCCTATTATGATCAGCTCTTATGACTAAGCTTTAGGCTCCCTCTAACAGATGACAAAGTTTTGAAATGGCACCTTAATGCGGTTTGTTTGTTTGTTGTTTAACGTATCGTATCCCAATTGCATAGATCGATGCCGAAGATGTCAAAGACTAGATTGTCTGGTCAAGACTCGATTATTCACAGATCGCCGTCATATAGCTGGAATATTGCTCAGTGCGGCGTTAAACAACAAACACACAAACTATTGACGAAGCAACGCTTAAAGATCTTGGTAAATAAGAAACACATTTCTCAATACTATTTTGCAATGTCTTTATACTTAATACGTCAAACGCCGACCACACGCATTCAATTCTCGAGATATGTACAACTGTAGAAGTCAATTGTTGTTGTCCTCCACGTGTTTCTGGAATTTTGATATAAACCAATCATCACTCGCTCACTCACTCACTAACTCATGCATTAACCTAGGAGTGGCAATACCATAGAATAGTAAAATACGAGTGAATATGTCAACCGAATAGGGTATGTGAATACCGTTGTGCGATGAAGCTCATCAGTAGGATCTTTCTTTGTGTTATATTCCCAACGGGATAGTGTTTATTCAAATAAAGCGTACATAAATATGGCTGAATCTTGCCACCGCCCACAGCTGATTCTTTCTATACATAAACTTTGAACAAATCAAATCATATTTACATATTACTGTTGTGTGAAATGGGATTGTGACAATTCCTTCCCTTATTCTTTGTCATCAAGACAATCAGCCACTTTCAAGATGTTCTCAACATTCTTTGAGGGTTCGTTTTTGTGTATTTTACGACTGTAATAAATAATCGACCCGAGATCTACTGCCACTCCGGCAGCGGCAAGAACCACACCCCCGACCTTGACGCCGGACGCTGCAACCTTTCCGGCGGTGGCAGCCCTCCCAGCAGCGGAAGTGACTTCAGTGCCTGCTTCAGCTGCCGTTCCTACAGACTTTCCGGCACTAGCAACTCTGGAAGACATCTCGGCACCAGCTGCAATTCCCCCTACAACATCAACAGCACGTTTCGTTGCCTTGCTAATTCTAACGGCCTTGATCACAGAGTCAACGACGACGTCGATTGATTTGAAAACTGTTTTTCCCTTGCCTGCAAGAGCCAGCGGAAGTGACTTTTTATTAGCGTTTCTGATCATTCCAATGATATCCTTCTTCGTGTTCATGTTGATAAAGTTACTCTTTTCAATATGACCTTGCAGAATAATCCTCTCTGGTTCTTGTAATGTTTTTATTAATTTATTCAATTTTGTGTTTATATCTTCTGACATTTCCGCATAATCATGAAGCTTTTGCGATAAATGTTTTTCTGCGTTCTTGGTGATGCGATAGTTAACAATCATGGACGATATACCCGACACGGCACCCCCTCCCCCAACCACGCCCCCTGCTATGGTCAGGCCCAATGAGACCCCTGCAGTGACGGGTGCCAGAGCCAAGCCTGCGATTGCAAGACCTCCGCCAACGAGACCCGCATTTGAGGAAGTGAGTTTTGCGATGTCAACTTTTCTCTGTTTAGACTTGAGGTTTTCAGCAAAGTCACGTAGTTCCGTAGCCAGTTCCTTCTGTAGTTTGGAACAGGAATTAACTTCGGAAGAAAAGGAAGCGATATCCATCTCAGCCATTTTGAAAACTGTGAAGTAAAAGAGTACGACATGTATTACGTATGCAGACCATGGTTACAATTGATCAGACGTTGCGTTCTCGCGAGTACCCCTGGAGCCATTTATTATAGCACAAAAAATCTTAACAGCGCGTTTTTAGACACTGTTTAACTATCATTTCATAGTTAGGATATTATGGCAACGTTCCCTGCCACCATTTCGTTTTTTTCAAATATGGCATGGATTCATTAGCTCACCAGGATTCTACGTTTCCGTAACTTTCGACTTCTTGGCCGAACCGGCTGAAGGGAGGATTGTGAAATTTTATGAGGATTTCTAGCGTTATAATTGGACACAGATTTGGCCACATTTCGTTAAGAAAATACAATTAATTTGTTTCCTCAATGGAAAAACAAAAGTCGAATCATGAAAATCTTTGAGAATTGTCTTCTCAGAAAGCACAATGGGATATAGAACTATTCATGCCATGGCCAGAGAAAACGAATACATTTTTTAACAACTGGGTTAAACCTCCGAAACCACAAGGCCCACAGAGCTGAAACGTTATGAAAATGTGATTTATTTGCTGTTTAACACCGCACTTAGCAATATTCCAGTTATGTGACAGCGGTCTGTAAATAAGAGTCTGGACCAGGCAATCCAGTGATTAACATCATGAGCATAGATCGACGTAAGTGGGATACGATGACATGCATCAACCAAGTCAGCGAGCCTGACCACCCGATCCCGTTAGTCGCCTTTTACGGCAAGCATGGGTTGCTGAAGACATATTCAACCCCGGATCTTCACGGGTCAAATAATTAGATGATATTGGTATATATGTAAATTTTACCATCACACATTACAGCTGTATATTTTTATCGTCTTTATTCAGTTTATTTATATTTATTTAAATCCATATCCACCCGATTCTCTAACATGTTTCTTTAGTTGTTTATCCACATGTGGGGCTGTGCCAGCATTGTCAGTGTGACCCTAGTTCATGTTGTTCAGTTACAATACAACGGGACGCGGTTTTACGCAGTGATACACAAGGAAGTATATTGTTCGTGTTTGAACTGTACTTTCCGTATCTAAATATAAGCGTTGTCTTCGAACGTCCTCATGCATACTAAGCCATTGCTTTTGACCTAGAAATAAGACATGAAAATCCAGGAAGAGCGTTAACATTATATATCTTGAGTTGATACTTAGAGGCCACTTACATGGTAGATAATAAGATGCTATGAAATAAATGACATATATAACAAATCTCGTTAATAGTCCATTAGGCTTCACTATATGGTATCCGAATCAGGAAATAAACAGATTAACCACTGTTATCTTTACGATTGATGTTTGAAAATGGTATTTTACATTAAAAGTTTTTGTGGTTTATCTGTAAAGTGAATTTGTAAGGCAACTTCGGTCTAAACATATCTACCTGAGATGTACCTGTGGCGTGCCTGTTGCGTCCCTGTGATGTGCGCCGTGTTGTCGGTGTGTCGGGTGAGGCCGCTCGCGTTACTTCAGCTGCACAAGGCGGATGAATGTAAGTGTTCAAGTGGTGAGCATTTCAGTGATTCGCTTATCATGGTCCGCATTGACCTGTGTGTACAAAACACGAAATAGCATGGTGTGTCGTAGTTGTGTTTGTGTGCGGGATGAAAGCTCTGATACAAATATTGACTTACAATATCCCTTAAAATAAACAAACACGACGTGTTTATCTATAGAGAGAGAAGGTATTTTGCAGTACAATGAAGAATAGAATTTCATCAATTTAAGAGAACTTCGGAATTCTGCTTATTGTTTGCTGCCTGTTTTTGCGCACACGCCCACACACGCGCACGCGCGCACACACACACACACACACACACACACACACACACACACACACACACACACACACACACACACACACACACACAGAGTATACATCCCTGTGATCGTGTACGGCTGGCGATCTTTACACAAGGGTAGTGAACTCTTTCGTCATAACATTTGTTGGCATGACTGGTTAGAACTCGAGACATATAGGAAAATGCTACACAGATACGACAGAAACGATGTTTACAAACTTATACTGTAGTCCTACTGTTTTATTGATAAATTTAAATCACAAGCGTCTACTGTTGTTAGTGGGTGCCTTATTTAGGATATAGGGTCTCTTCTTTGCAGACCCGTGAAGATTCCGGGATAGAATTGGTCTTCAGCAACCAATACTTGCTGTAAAAGTCGACTATGCTTGTCGTAAAAGGCGACTAACGGGATCGGGTGGTCCTCGTTGATACATGTCATCGATCTCAATTGCGTAGATCGATGCTCATGATGTCAATCACTGGATTGTCTGGTCCAGACTCGATTATTTGACAGACCGCCCTCATATAGCTGGAATATTGCTGAGTGCGGCGTTAAACAACAAACAAACAAACAAAAGAGATAAACATGCAGCATTGCTGGCTTGGACTGAAAACACAGTGTTTCAGTTGTCACCACTGGCCATTTTCGACTATTTTACGGGTGCTTCAAACAAATATATGCTCTTGTTTACATCATGTTTTTTCTCATTTCTTGTTTGGACACAATGATACTCTCTGGCCAAAACACTCCCAGGTGAAAATCGTTAATGCTTCCTGTAAATATTTCCTGACCGTTTGAACCGACCTCGAAATGTTAACGTCAAGAGAATTCTAGTTTGTGAAAATGATATTTCTATATGCAACGGAGTTATTTCCCTTAGACCAGCATCTCATCCCATGACCCTCACAATCTTGGTCACAATTGCGGGTTGTACGTGTCATCTGAAGCAGCCAAGGTGTTGTGTAGCGAGGCCGAATGAAGTAATTAATAATAAGGATTTTGAGGAAACTACAGAGTTACAAATATATCTTTTACATTTTTATAATTTATTTTTTTAATAATTTATAGGTACACATTTTTCTTGACGCCGCTTACGCAGTGGACAATAGAGTGAACTCACTCTAGTTTGGTGAAGAAATGTTGTACCGTTTTCAAGATCTACTCTGAAAATGAACACTACCGTCATTTTCAGTCTAAGTCATAGTGGTTGCCATGGAAAAATAATTTGTTCAACAATCCCAAACTATCAAAGGGCACCAGTTCACCACTAGACCTGTCATTGTGCCAAATGTGGTTAAGCTATCTCTCATGTTTGTTTAGTTCTGCTCCGAAAACGTAGCGGGGATAATAAATATGACTTTCCAAAACACGTCTTCATTCCACATTCATTAAACTTGGGATCGACATGCACCAAGTGAAACCTCGTTAATCCAGCCTTCTCCTAGGCGAATATAAATGACAACGTATGCATCTACACAACACAATTTGTAAATCGGGGTCAGTAATTGGGTTTCACTTAAATGGTACACGGTTGGTAGCAATCACTAAACTACAGTACAACACTGTTCAGTCAGCAATTACTACACTACAGTACAACACTGTTCAGTCAGCAAGAACTAGAGTTCAACACTGTTCAGTCAGCAAGCACTACACTACAGTACAACACTGTTCAGTCAGCAAGCTCTACACTAAAGTACAACACTGTTCAGTCAGCAAGCTCTACACTACAGTACAACACTGTTCAGTCAGCAAGCTCTACATTACAGTACAACACTGTTCAGTCAGCAAGCTCTACACTACAGTACAACACTGTTCAGTCAGCAAGCACTACACTACAGTACAACACTGTTCAGTCAGCAAGAACTACACTACAGTACAACACTGTTCAGTCAGCAAGCTCTACACTACAGTACAACACTGTTCAGTCAGCAAGCTCTACACTAGAGTACAACACTGTTCAGTCAGCAAGAACTGCACTACAGTACAACACTGTTCAGTCAGCAAGCTCTACAGTTCAACACTGTTCAGTCAGCAGGCACTACACTACAGTACAACACTGTTCAGTCAGCAAGAACTACACTACAGTACAACACTGTTCAGTCAGCAATTACTACACTACAGTACAACACTGTTCAGTCAGCAAGAACTACAGTTCAACACTGTTCAGTCAGCAAGCACTACACTAGAGTACAACACAGTTCAGTCAGCAAGCACTACACTACAGTACAACACTGTTCAGTCAGCAAGCTCTACACTAGAGTACAACACTGTTCAGTCAGCAAGAACTACACTACAGTACAACACTGTTCAGTCAGCAAGAACTACAGTACAACACTGTTCAGTCAGCAATTACTACACTACAGTACAACACTCTTCAGTCAGCAAGCACTACACTACAGTGCAACAATGTTCAATCAGCAATCACTACACTACAGTACAACACTCTTCAGTCAGCAATCACTACACGACACTACAGTTCAACACTCTTCAGTCAGCGAGCACACACACTACAGTACAACACTGTTCAGTCAGCACCAACTACACTACACTACACTACACTACACTACACTACACTACACTACACTACACTACACTACACTACACTACACTACACTACACTACACGCACTCGTGGGCTCCATCATTGTGAAAAACGTTTAACACCGGCATCACTTCGGGTTTTCCTCCCAAATTAAGATGGTACACCGTGATATAACTGAAACTAATCAGCGTTAAAACCACCCCACTCACTCACTGAAACTTGTAAACTCTATATGTCAGTCGAAAATAGAAAATATGTTGTTGATTCTGAATTTTTTACAATATTTACCATATTTTTGGTTACACTTGTGTTAGGTGCAGCAAAGGAATACTTAGGTACAGTGTTAGCCTTCGATTTCGTTTTCGTGTCTCTATCAACCACAACGTGCCTTAAGCACAACATACAGCTGATCGTGTACACATGTACCATACATTCACATTAATGTAGGTAACATTTTGTGGGGTTTCTACCAGATGACCATCTTTCCCAGTAGTTTATATCTTTGACTTGTGTTTGTTTGTTTATTTGTTTGTTGTTTAACGCCGCACTCAGCCATATTCCAGCTACATGACGACGGTCTGTAAATAATCGAGTCTGGACCACAGAATCCAGTGATTGACATGATGAGCAAAGATCCACGCATTTGGGACCGATGACATGCATCAAGCAAGTCAGCGAGCCTGACCACCCGATCCCGTTAGCCGCCTCTTACAACAAGCATAGTCGCCTTTCACGGCAAGCATGGGTTGCTGAAGACCTGTTCTACCCCGAATCTTCACGGGTCGACTTGTGTATAAACATGAAGTAAATCTACCCATACCCCAAAACAAAAGTATTAGTGTATCTTATTAAACATCGAAGAAAATTGCATGCTCTTAAATATAGCAATGTAATCAAATGTATGTACACTGTATGTTTACTGTATGATTCCAACTTACAATAGGTTTGGATTGATTTTTTAAATGTTGAAATAATATATTAGATTTAACAGTCCCGATGTTTTTTTAAGTTCTCAAATATCCCCAAAATATGTTTTGCCTTACGCTGCTGTTTATACAGAATGGACAGACCATGAAAAAAAGCTGGTGAAAGAGACGCCATATATTATTAACTTGTAACTTCATCTAAAGGATTCCCTTTGCAAAGCAATTTCTCTATTGCTTTGCTGGATCATAGACTCACGCTAACCACGCGACCCGTTTTACCAGCACTCGTCGATGAAGCTTTTTGGTCACAGATCCCCAACATTACACATACACGTACTGAAAGGGGATACTGTGTTTATCCCGGATTTATATCTATTAATAAAACAAATAGAAGAATAATGTCTATTTATTCAAAATAATTCTTAACATGTGTATTTGGAATGACCAGTGAAAAAGATAACAAGGATATCCTGTTCATGAGGATCGTTTATCATTTTCCGACCAGTTGGCGCACGGATACATCGGTGAAATGTCGAGTAACTGTAAACTGTTAGCAATGAGTAATTCGGTTAGGATCTGTTCAGAGACCGCTCATCATACTCCTATTGAATGTATTATCGCTGATAATATTATAGCCTGTTTAATCAAACCGGAGCAACCTTGCCATTTAGATAATGTTCTCTAAACCCACGGGACTGCTCTGTATAATATTTTGTTATGAATCTTTAAATTCTACATAGTTTTTTTCGTTTGAAAGTGGAGAACAAGACAGCGCTTCAAATACAGCATGCCGTACGTTTTGACAAGTGTGGGTGGTAGAGCTGGTATTGTGTTAACAATTACTACCACCCACATCTGTTTGTAATGTATTTGGGTTTTTCTATTGTTTCCAGTGATGTGTAAATGCTGGATGCCCGACACCCACAACAAAACCTGGTTAATGAATGCGGGGTATGTAGGACGATCACACATACTTAATGATGTAATCGACTATTTGATAAAAAATAGTTCCAGTCGGTGTGCAAACATATGAGTCAGTCATTATTCACGTCAAGAGAAATGCGGGATGCTTACAGGATTTTTTTGGTGTCACATTAAACGCGATAAGTAGCTATGGAACACTTAGTAATTGGAACGTTTTCCAATGTTCGTGCACACGTCATTACGGTCTCCAGCTTCAAACGCCTGAACGCCGAAAA